AATGCAGAGAAAACACAGTATAAATTATACCCAACGTTTCAACGTTGAACAGCTTAAGATGGGTGAAGTGTAAGGGTACCTAGGTACATCTGAAAATAAACTGAATCTGCGTTCAATAAACATTGATTTTGATAATACATTTCACAAATCAATTGCAAATAACAATCATACTAAAATAGCACGACAGATAACTAACAATCGCATGAGAAGAACTTCTTGATTCGCCTTGACATTGTCGTCCGAACGAATGTTGTCTGAAGTTACACATTTGTCTTTTCTGCGCAGCATTTGTGTTTGCCATTTACCGCACCAATGTTCGCCAGCGGTGGTGACTTTTCCTTACCTGCTCACGAAACGTCACACACGACATGACGTCACCCGAAGACGTCATCAAAAAGTCCAGCTCTTAGGCGTGTCCAGCGTACCCCCCTGATTCCGTCTCAGCTGAGTGAAGAAACTACCGTTTTGGCAACCTGGAGTAAAGGTTTTAATCTGCCAAATGAGTTGTCAAGCCAGTGAAAGAGGTGGATTTTCACGTACATGCTTTCTTCCTTTGTGACCCACAACCCCTAATTTGGGGAGGACAAGCTGCCCAACGGTTCCTGAGGGCTGTTCACGGACCCTGTGTGCGGTCGGACCGCACACAGCCTCCAAGCTCCGCCCACTGCGTCCCTACGTCAGCCTTGCGTCACCGCACACAGCGACCGCTGTGGCCGGTCGGGACTGGCCACAGCGGACCGTCCACCGCACGCAGCCGTGACGTCAGAGCCGCCTACCCATCCCCTACCCCCACGCCTGCTGGACGTACCGCACACACCGCACGCAGCAGTGTGCGGTGCCCGTGAACACCCCGCCTCATGAAAAGTTGTGGGGCACCGCTCCCACGGCCGCAGCGTTATGGGGGCAGGGCACCCTTCCCCTTACTGCCCCTCCCCCAGTTCCCGCGCCTATATATGAATCTATGAAATTATGTTGGTAGATTTCCGATTTCAATTCCTCCAGCTGGGGGGGGGGGGAGGCTCAAATACATTACGAGCCCCTCAGCCGAAAAGCTGGGGGCTCAGCCCCCACTAGCCCCCCCCCCCGGTTCCCGCGCCACTGTAGCTAGACTAAAAGATTGGCCGATAAAAAACTAGCTGCATTTGCTTCTTTATGCTTTCATTATTTGATATAGGTAGGTACACTGCAATTTCAAACCTTTTACAGAACTTTTGTGTATGGGATAGTTTTCCAAAATCTTCGTGTTTCATAAATCAATAATAATCACTAAAAAAAATGAAGGGGGCCCACAACTTCCAGAGGGGCCCCTTGAGAAAACTTTGCACCCCCATCCAAAATTACCTTCCGCCGCCACTGGCTCTTGTACGTTGTTTTGTTGGATGTTTTGAATCCCTTAAGATTGACTTATATCATATTTAAGAAGCATGTTGACTGAAAACAATCTGAAGTATCCAGGAGGCTGACAGAGGTCCTGACTACTGAGCAATATCAATATCAAGTTAAACAAGTTATGAAATTTTGGTTGATAAACGCAAGTTGATCGGGCTCATATATCAGCAAGAATAAGTAAAATTAAAAGAGCTTATTGTCCAAAAACAAGCTATAATATTGCAGACCTTGGAGCAATACTGAAGAGCACGCTGAGCAGGATCATGCCAGAAAATGTTGACTGATGAGCGCATATTGATGTATTGGTATGAATATTGAATGATAACTTACAACAGCAAGATAAATTAGTGCTAACTATCAAGTTAAAATCTAGAATGAATGGACTTGGACAGTTTTACTATGCTTAGATGCTATGCAGATTGTAATGTGCATCAGGTACTCAGTGTCTGGCAAATGAAACATGCGATCATTCCATTGCTACTGGAGGAGAAAGCTTGGATCACTAAATCCACTTTATGTTGATTTTGATGTTAATCATCATCACTGTATTTCTTGAAAAAAGGATTGTAGTAAAATTGTCAATGTGACAATTCATGCAACGATGTGATCATATTATGTGTTCATAGTCATTCGTGATAGTCATTATTGGTCCAATATACAATGGCAAAGCTCTCAGTCTCAGCGTTTCTTCCTGTGGATGGCCAGCAGTGACTCAGAGCTTAGAAGTATTAGTTTTCTTCACAGGGCTGGGATAAAAAGTACTGAGGGTAATCTTCCACCAAGGAACTCTACTTTGACATGGTATGAGATGTAGGCACAAGTAAGTAGGTGCTCAGTTCCTATAGTCAGTAGTTGTGTATGTTTAGTTGGGTTAGCTTAGATCAGATTGTTAGTTTTTTAATTTGCCAAATGTCCATAAAAATGTGACCTGAGCAATGAGCATACCTGAACCTGACTAACCTGACAGCTGACCTAACCTCAATCATCACACATATTTGCAGCCTACCCAAGACCTGCATGGCAGTAGCACCCAGTTATAGGTAGGTACTCACCCTAACTCAATCTTACCTGCTAACCTTCAACTTGCCAAAAGTAAGCTCACATTGCCAAGCTGTGTCCAGGGAAACAGTCAACTGAGGAACTGGCTCATTGGGTGGCTGGTGTGAGTCTGTTCATTTAAAGTGTTTCTTCTCTGAAGCTGCTCTGCACTGCTGTATGTCATGTTAGATGCTCAGAAAATGTGGGAAATGATTACTAAGCTACTTTAGTGCTTTGTTAATGCTCGAGACATGAACAAGTACAGATCCTGCAGGGTACAGCTATGAGTTAGGTGCTAGGTGAGTATGTTATGTGAATGTGCTGTTCCCTGTTTGACCGTAAGTAAACAAACAAGCACAGGGTCACAGTTATATTCAATCTCCACATAAACATACAACAAAAACAGCCATATAGCCTAACTCCGAACACACCACAGATAACTTAAGCCTTTGAAGGCACAAAAATGTTTTGATTAACCTTCGCCCCAGTGGGGGGGGGGCATATGTTACCACCCTGTCACGTTTTTTGCGTGTGAATAAAAAACCGCGGCGCGTAGCGCCGCGCCGCTTGGGGTAGCTTTTGGTACATCAATTTTGGACAATGTGTGAAATTTTTGACCCCAGGTCATGTCAGGTCAGGTCACCAGGTCAAGTTAACTGACCAAGCCTAAAAAAGTTTGCAATCATGTCCAGCCTGCAGTGTTTGTCAGAAAGGTTTTAAACTTGGTGGATTGCATGCTGTTATGGGCGCCTACAATTTGTATATCTCGGATTTTTTATATCTGTGACCTAAGGTCAGGTCAGTGGCGTGACCTTTCCATTACAAGTCAATGGAGAAAAATGAAAATGCCTCTAGATCCGTGTGTACGCATCGGAACAGTCCAAATATTTCAGAATCACAATGATTTAGTCCACTCGTGATGAACAAGGTGTCATTTTTGCTGATAGCCTCTAGACAGGTCATCCGAGGTCACTTGAGGCTACAAACAGTTTTTTGCCAATAACTCGCGATTGGAAAGAGCTAGAACGCTGGGGATGGTCTCATTGTGTTTGTCTTGTTGAGACGCATCGACTGATATGCAACATGACCTTTTCCGGTAAGGTCATGACCTTGACCTGAGGTCAAATTTTCAAGTTGACCTTTCAAGGTCAAATTATAGTTCATTCGACGCGTCTCGGCGAGGGGAACACGATTCTGACCATAGAAATGTCGTGGCTTTTTGTAGTCGAAAGTTATTGTCGAAAAACACTTTTCGTAAAAACAGCTATTTTTGGAGTTTTTGCCCTCTGGAGGCTAAACCATTGACCTGAGGTCAATATTGATAATGACCTTTTCAAAAGAAGAGTTCAAAAGCTATCGTTTTCTCTTCCATGCGTTTTTCTAGCTACCATAGTTCCTGAGATAGCGGCATGTTTTCTGAAAAATATTATGACAATTGGCAAATTTTGACCTTTGATGACCTCTGGTGACCCCAATATTGCTCTAAGGTGAAAAATGACTGAAATACTTTCAAACGTACGCATTGAGAGCTATCGACTGCTTTTTACCGCGTCTTTCTAGCCCTCTTAGTTTTTGAGTTAGAGGTGGGTGGTAACATATGCCCCCCCTCACTAGGGCGAAGTTGGCTGAGACCGCCACTGGGGCGCGGGTTAACAGGACAGGTTTACAATATATCCTCTGTCCTTGGGGGATCTTGCTGCCAAGTTGAGGTATGATGAATGAACTTCAGGATTGATCAACCTTTTCTTAGCCACTGCTTATATACGAGAAAGACCAAATGCTTGTTTGTTTTGATTTACAGGACATGTATACAATATATCATCTGTCCTTGGGGGATCTTGCTGCCAAGTTGAGGTACGATGACTGAACTTCAGGATTGATCAACCTTTTCTTAGCCACTGCTTATAAACGAGAAAGACCAAATGCTTGTTTGTAAACTGCGTTGAAAATTTAATGATCCACCTTCAATTCTGACATGAAGGCACAAATGAAATAGTTGCCTCTCCTTTTGGAATACACAAAGCAAAATATTTAATAAATTTTAATGGATGGACAAGAGCAATAGCTTTCCCTCAAGTTAACTTCTGGCGCCTCTCCCATGTCCGCCACTACCTCCCCGACGGTGTCACCAAGACACTAGTGGTGGCTCTCGTCATGTCACGGATCCAGTACTGTCTCTCCGTATTTGGTAATGGTAGCCAAAAGAACTTCGATCGCATTCAGAAAATTCTTAACTTTGCCGCTAGAGTCATTTTCGGTCGCCGTAAATTTGATCATGTCTCCCATCTCCGGGACCAACTCGGCTGGATGGCGCCTAAAACAATGGCTGAATATGTTGTGTATCGAGTGGTCAGTACTTTCCTTATTCTGCTACTTCCGATTGTACTTCATGCTTTTGGCTGACTCCAAAGACTCCTTTTTACTCAGAACGTTTCTTCCATACTACACAAGGCCAAGAACAACAACTCCCAAGGTTCTCCATATGAGGCACACTCTCTAAATCCAGGCAGAGTAAATGACGTCACAAGAGACATCATCCTAATACACAACACTCCTCCCCACTAAACAACACTTTACAGGTTCATGCGCACTACAGGTTTACGCTCACGCTGGGGATGAGTGCGCAGTTCTGGGGTCTTCCGGATGACGTCCGCTGGACGTGCCCTAGGACCTACAGTCTCTTGTTCAGTGTTCGCCTTCGCTGCTGACGCTGCTTCAGGTGACTGTGTTGCAGCGATCCCATCTTCCTCCAGCACGAGCCCGCGGTTACCGGTTGAAGTTACCGACTGTTCCACAGCGCTATGCAGTGGCGGTCCATGTTCCCGCTGCACCGCTGGTGCGTCTTGCGCTGGGAGATTGCAGTGCTCAGACGGATTGATCTCCTGCCGCAGATTAGTCACTGGAGGTCGGACACCTGGCAGACAGACAATCTGATCGATGTGTCGACGCCACACTTCGTCTTGCACTTGGACTAGGTAGTGTTTACTGCCTTGTCGTTCGATGACGTCTCCCTCCCTCCATTTCTGTGCACCTCGGTAGTCGCGGACCAGGACTGATTCGCCGACTTCGAGCGTTCTGTCGGTTCCCTTCTGTGATCTTTCTACTTGTTCCTGTTGCTTCTCTCGAACTTCACTTGCGAGGTTGGGCTTCAGGAGGTCCAGGCGGTTTCGTAGCGGCCTGCCCAGCATCAACTCCGCCGGTGTACGTCCTGTTGACGCTTGTGGCGTACTGCGGTACGCCATCAGGAAGTTCGGGATGTTGACCTTCTTGCCTTTTGAGGCCTTCAGCAGGTTCTTCAGACAACCCACTGCTCTTTCCGCAGCTCCGTTAGTGGACGGCTTGTACGGCGCTGTGACACTGTGCTTGATTCCGTTCCTCTCCAAGAACCCTTCGAAGTCCTTGCTGACGAGTTGTGGACCATTATCCGTGACCAGTTGGTGAGGCAGTCCCCACCTAGCGAACAGGTTCAGCAGGTATTCAATCGTCTTCTCTGTTGTGATGGTCTTCATTGGAGCGATTTCCATCCACTTCGAGTAGCTGTCGATGACAACCACGTAGAATCTACCTTCCACAGGACCAGCGAAATCTAGATGTATCCGTTGCCAGGGTCCCTTGGCATACTCCCATGGGTGGAGATCTCCGCTTGGTGGCTCTGCTCGCTTTTGCCAGCAGCCTTCGCAGTTCCGGACTTCCGCCTCGATCTGCTTGTCCATGTTCGGCCACCAGACGTGCATCCTTCCGAGCTGCTTCATCTTCACCATTCCTTGATGTCCGGCATGCAGCTCGCTCAGCACTCTGGATCTCAGGTTCGGCGGAACCACGACGCGACATCCCCACATTAGACATCCGCGCTCCACGGTCAGTTCGGTTTGCCTCATCTTGAATGGTTGTAGCTCTTCATTTACGGCTTCTGACCAGCCATTGTGCACGAAGTGCATCACCTTCGCCAGGATTGGGCTTCTGGCCGTCTCTCGTTGAATCGCTGCGGCCGTCACCGGACTTAGCGACTCCAGTTGTCCGATCAGACAGACAGTGCACTCGTCTTCTGGTGCTTCTGACTTCAGCACTGAGCCTTCTCTCGGTAGACGTGAGAGCCAATCAGCTACTGGAATCTGTTCCGACTTCCTGACTTCCACAGAGAAATCGTACTCCGCCAACTTCATCGCCCATCTCTGGATCCGTGAGGCAGCCAACGTCGGCAGCGGCGCCTTAGGTCCAAAGACGTGAGCTAGCGGCTTGTTGTCCGTTACGAGCTTGAAATGGCGCCCGTACAGGAACTGCTTCAGTCGCTGAAATGCCCAGACTACACAGAGTCCTTCCCTTTCTATCTGAGAGTATTTCCGCTCGTGTTCACTCAGCGATCTTGACACGTACATGATCGGCCGCTCATCCTTCCCTTGAACGAGTACGGCGCCTAGTCCTTCTGGACTAGCGTCCGTGATCACCGTCACCTGCTCCGTCACGTCGAAATGACGCAGCACTTCCGTTGATGACAGCTGTCTCTTGATGCTGTTGAAGCTGGCTTCACACTCTGCAGTCCACTTCCATTCGCTGTCTTTCTTCAGGAGTTCATTCAACGGCCTTGCTGTCTTCGAGAGGTTCTTCAGGAAGCGGTTGTAGAACGTGACAGCACCGAGAAACTCACGAACTTCTTTCTGGTTGGTGGGTGCTCTTGCGTTCAGCACGGCTTTCACACGTTCTGGATCTGTTCTGATGCCCTCGGCTCCTAGCCTGAGCCCTAGGTACCGGACTTCCTTTGTCAGAAACTGACATTTCTCCTTTTTCAGACGCAGACCGTGTGACTTCATGATCTGCATCACTTCGTCCAGTCGCTTCAGTGCTTCTTCTTCAGTTCTTCCTGTGATGAGCATATCATCCAACAGACACTTCACTCCAGGCACATTCTTGAGGATTCTGTCCATTTCCCTCTGGAAGAGCATTGGACTTGACTTCACCCCGTATGGTAGTCGCAGCATACGGTGCATCCCCCATGGTGTGTTGAGAACACAGTACTCCTGGCTTTCTGTGCTGAGGGGCATCTGCAGATACGCTTGGGAGAGGTCAATCACTGAGATGTATCGAACCTGTCCCACTGTTGCAAAAATGTCCTCCATCTTCGGCAGCGGGTGCTTCGGCACTTCCAGGTTTGGGTTCAGCGTTACCTTGAAATCTCCACAGAGCCTTACTGATCCGTCCGGCTTTGGCACGACTACGAGAGGCGTGGCCCACTTCGGCGTTGCATCCTCTGACGTCAGTTCTTTTGTCACTCCAAGTTCCACCCATTTTGACAACTCTTGCTTCACTTTGTCCGCGAGACCATATGGCACAGGTCGTGGTGGCTGGAACACTGGTTTGGCATCTTCTTTCAGCTCTAGATGAGCTTCAGTGTTCTTCATCTGACCCAGCGTACCATCAAACAGCTCTTCATTCCTCTGCAGAACATCTTCCAGCTTCCAACGCATTGTCTTCTGAGATTGCATACTTCCCACCAGCTGTTCCCAGTCCAGTCTGATTTCTTTCAGCCAGTTACGTCCCAGTAGTGGAGGTCCATCTCCTTCCACCACATGCACTTCCAGTTCCTTCTTGTTTCCTTGGTACACTACTTCTGCATCAGTGACACCCAGCACAGGGATCTTGTGCCCTGTATATGAGGTCAGACGACATCCAGCTTTCCGCAGACTCAGTCCAGGAAGCACACTGTCTGGCATCAACGTCACTGGGCATCCTGTGTCAACCAGGAATTCCACATCCTTGCCATTTACGGACATGCTCACCTTGATCGCCTTTGACTTCTCCCTGCTTGCTTGATACACACAATAGTTGTCTTCCTCGTCATCTTCTACTTTGTCACCTTCATTACAGTTCACCCTCACTCTCTCTTCAGCACTCGGGTTCCTGCACGCAGCTTGGAGATGACCCGGCTTTGAACAGTTGTTACATCTGACATGTTTCGGCACTCTGCAGTCTTTTATCAGATGGTTACCTTTGCCACATCTGAAGCATTTCCTTTCATCTTCCCTTTGACTGCTTTGCATCATCTTACCTCTTGCATTTTTCATCTGGTTTTGCTGCCCTCTCACAGCTTCATCCTTCTTTGGCTTTCTTTCTGCCTGCTTCCAGTTGACCTTGTTCACCTTTTCATCTTTCCTTGATGCTCCTTCCTCTGACACTTCCATCTTCCGAGCTTGCTCTCGAACAGTGGCATCTGTCGACCATATAGAGATGGCTTTGGTTAGAGTCAGCTTTTCTTCCTTAAGCATGCTCTCCTTTACTCTGGATGAGGGACATGTTGCAACCAGCTTATCTCTCACCAGGTTATCCACTTCATTGACATCAAAGTCACACTTCCGAGCTTGAGTTTTCAGCTTTGCTACGTATCCTTCCACTCTTCCGCCTTCGTACACCATTGTGTTGAAGTGATGTCGCTCAACTACTGCGTTTACTTTTGGCTTGAAGTGCTTCTCCAGCTGATCTTTCAATTTTTCATATGCATTTGTCCCTTCCCCCTCTGGCAAAGTATCGATAATACCTTGAACATCAGGTCCGAGAAGGTGCAGAACAATATTGACTTTCTGAGAAGCAGTTTTCACATCAATTGCACCCATGTAAATTTCCACTGATTTGATCCATGTCATGAAGTTTTCACCTTCCTTGATACTTGGTGGTGGAGGCAGACTAACAGCCATAATTCAGAAAATATCCAAATCGACAAATACTGGCGCACTTCCAACTCGAGATATGCCCTTAACCTTGAAATGCGACAAACTTTGGCGCGACACGTGCTGCGCCTTACAGATGCGTCTTCGGGACTTTAAATCGCGTATTTTACCTTCGTCGCCATTTTGTTGTGTATCGAGTGGTCAGTACTTTCCTTATTCTGCTACTTCCGATTGTACTTCATGCTTTTGGCTGACTCCAAAGACTCCTTTTTACTCAGAACGTTTCTTCCATACTACACAAGGCCAAGAACAACAACTCCCAAGGTTCTCCATATGAGGCACACTCTCTAAATCCAGGCAGAGTAAATGACGTCACAAGAGACATCATCCTAATACACAACAGAATACCATACCCTTATCACGGCGCACAAGGCCATCCAGAGAGGTGAACCCGAGGAGATCGCGACCCTATTTTCCAAAAATTCCCAAACACGAGCAAGGTCTACTCGCCAAGACCACCTTTTCCACTTACCGCGACCCCGACTAGAGACCGGAAAACGTAGATTCGCCTACCGTGCCGCGGCGCTCCTAAATACTCTCCCCCTCGAGCTAACGCAGTTGCCTCCAGCCAGATTTGCCCGTGCTGTAAAAAAGGGGCTTAAGCCTAGCCAGAGTAGCCATAGTAGCTAGCCTCATGACTCTTGGACTATGAAAGGCAAACGAGTCTGTGTGTACATAGTTATGAACGCGGCTTCGTGCGGGTTCCACCAAGTAGGTGCGTGTTCGGCGTTCGCGTTGTGTATTTCGTATCCGTAAGTGTGTGCGTTTTCTTGTGTAGGTACCTATTTCTTGTGTTATCTTCAACCAGCTCGGACTCGGAGTGTAATCGCCACGCCGATTGTGGATTGCTCTTGATCGTCAATACATACATACATACATACATACTGTTGATGAATTACACCGAAGCTTATTCCCTTCATATTTTGTAACAAACGCGCTAAAACTGCAATATAACAGCACTATATGCTTCTTGACAAAATGCAATAGTATTAAAAATTTAGCCCTGATGGCATTCATTATTGGTGGAAACGTAATTGCAAAATATTTTGTAGTAGCTATTAAATTCCGGCCGAAAACAGTGCACGGTTTAAAAAAGAATCATTCCAATGACGGTCCATTCTTGCGGTCCTGAAATCGCCACTATTTCCGGCCTCTCCAACGCAACTCGTTGTCCAGACGTAAATATGCTACGACCACCGTGGGTAGTTGTAGTACGCGCCCTTAAAGGGACCCTCCCACCTTCAAAAAAGTTAATGAATTGGCATGAAAGTGATGTCGCTCGGTTCAGAAAGAGCGAAAACGAATATCTACCAAAATTCATCGAAAAATATTCACCGGTTTTCAAAATATTAGACTTTTACTTTTGTTTACTTTTTGGGATCTCCGCTGTTCCCAGGGACTTTATTTGAAAGTGCGGCATTTGTTGCGCGCAAAGCAGCATATACCACCGCGTGCTACCAAACGTTTTAGTCAAACATTTAAAAATCGTTAGATATCTGCGCTGACGTCACACATTCAGAGGGGTATTCCTATGCATTAGCCCCTCTGAATCAAAATGCTGCAATTTTGAAATTCAATATTTCCGATTTAAGGCATTTCTCGATGTTGTGAGTGCCGAAACCGGTAATTGTGAGCCAGGGACCCCATTTTGGCTATCTCAACTCAAATCTAATGTTAAGGTGGGAGGGTCCCTAAATACCTCAGCCCAATTGAAAACATTTTTTTTTTTCTAAACAACTTTCAAGTTCCATGCTTTTCAGTTAGTGGAACTTACTTACTTACTTACTTACGAAGTACGGATTTTGGATAGGCCAGAGGCCTTTAGAAACCTTTGTATTTATATACCTACATAAGGTCAAAACCTTTCTAGTCGGGCTCCTCGTGCGTCTAACTATTCGTCTGCGTGAGGGATGTCGTGTGCAAGGTGTGCCCAGTGAGTGTCAAGCCGGTTTTTTAATTGGTTCAGGATGTTTGAGGCGACAATCGTTGGCAGTAGGGTATAGCCTTGGGCTGTTCCAACTTCCAGTCGTTGATGACACGGATGGAGAACGTGTTGCACTGAATCCTGGAGACCGCCCGTGGCTTGGCTATTCTCCACTGGTGTCCTCTTGTGGCAGGAGTTCTGTCTGCTGCCATCTCAATCTCGAAGAGGCTGCGTTGGTCCATGTCAATTCCACCGCGGAGTAGCTGATAGACCGCGATCCGCGATCATATCTCCATGCCTCTGTCTGTAGTACAGCGTTGGTAGCTGCAGCACTTTCAGACGCTCTCGATACGGGATGTGACGGAAGATTGGGAACCAGCTTGGTCGCCCGCCTCTGCACCCGCTCCACCAGCCGCTGGTCCGCCTGGTTGAAGGGACCCCACACTACTAAGTTCCCGTACTCAAGGTGGGGTCGGACAAGGGCCTTGAGGAGCAGGGGGAGGGTTGATTGGTGGAAGGATTGATGAATCACTGCCATCACTTGTGTTGCCTTCCTTACGGCCACAGCAGCCTGCTTCCGGAGGGCTGTTTACGGGCACCGCACACTGCTGCGTACGGTGTGTGAGGTGGGTCCAGCAGGCGTGGTGGTAGGGGATGGGTAGGCGGTTCTGACGTCACGGCTGCGTGCGGTGACGGAAGGCTGACGTAGAGACGCAGTGGGCGGAGCTTGGAGGCTGTGTGCGGTCCGACCGCACACAGGGCCCGTGAACAGCCCTCTGAATTTGAGCTGGGTATCCATGAGGACGCCAAGGTCTCTCTCGACCTCTGACTCCGCGACTGTTGTTCCCTTTATCCGGTATGTGTGGTGCTGGTGCTGGTTGCCTCCGCCAATGTGGAGCACCTTGCACTTTCCAGGGTTGAATGACAGCTGCCACCTGTCTGCCCAGTGAAGTGCCGCGTTCAAGTCCTCCTGCAGGGATGCTGACTTTGCCGGGTCGGACAGAGAGCAGATACGTCGGTAGAGTTTGCTGTCATCGGCGGACGGCGAATATCTTTATTCCGCAGTGTAGTGGCTCCGGCAGGTCATTCACGCACAGCGTGAAGAGCAGTGGAGCAAGGACTGAACCCTGTGGAACACTGCTTGGTAGAGGAGCCCAGTCTGACTTGCTGCTTCCAGCAGTGACTCGCTGCTTCCGTCCTTCCAGGAATGCGCCGATCCATCTCAGAATCTTGCCTCTGATACCGTGAGCTTCTACTTTCTCCAGCAGCCGTCTAGGTGGGACTGTGTTGAACGCCTTGGCCAGGTCTAGGTATATGACGTCGACAGGTCACTTGCTCTCAATCATGCTGCCCCATTCTTCTATCGTTAGCATCAGCTGAGTAGAGCAGGACCTCCCTGGACGAAAACCGTGTTGGGCGTCGTTGATCAGGTTCTCCGACTTGAGGTGTGCAGTGCGATAAGACGGTCGCGAATGATCGACTCCAATAGCTTGCACGGAACAGACGTCAAACTGGCCGGCCTGTAGTTCCCTGGCTCATCTTTACTTCCTTTCTTGTAGATTGGAGCTACATCTGCCAGTTTCCAGTCCAGCGGCAGGGTCCCCGTGTCCAGTGACGATCGGTAGATGGAGGTAAGCGTGCTTGATAATGAGTCGGCTGTTTCCTTGATGATCCGTAGGTGCACACCACCCGGGCCGGCGGCGGAAAAAGGTCGTAGGGCAGACATCTTCTTTCTCACCAGCTCTACAGCGAGGTCGATGTCAGTGACAGCTGGACTGTGGTAGGTGTTGTACGGCTCTGGGATTTGTCCGGGGGGTTCCATGACGCAGACTGAGTTAAAAAAGTCGTTCAGTGTCGCCGCTTTCTCACAGCCGTTCGTAGTTAAGGTGCCGTCCGCAGAGTGTAAGTTCTCAACCCCGCTTGTAGTCTTCATCCTGGAGCCAGCGTATCGCCAGAAACCCTTAGGATTTTCTTTCAGGCTGGAGGCCAGTCTCCTTTCGAAGTCTTTGCGCAGGTTTCGGGTGAGTCGCCTGAGGTCGTTCTTGCAGCGAACGTACCTTGCATGACTGATGTCCATTTCTCGAGTGTATGCGGCCCAGAGCTTCTTTTTCCTGTTCTTTAGCCTCAAGACTTCCCTGTTTGTGTATATGCTTCCGTTTGTCCTTGGGCACGCTTTGGGGACGCATGCGTTGACCAGCTGCGGTGAGCTAGCTCGGTCTTGAAGGTGTCGTTATCGTAGCGTTCTTGCATATCCATATGCATTTCATCACACCACTGTCTCTGTCTGATCAGATACAGGGTGGACCAAAAAGGATGGAAACATTTTAAACTCGTATAAAACATGCAATATTGCATGCAGGTGACTGAAAATGATACCAAACGAGAGTACATTTTGTGTAAATTCATAATGACATAATGTTAAGCTGCTTTCTCTCGTTTTCAGTCTCTCACAGTAGATGTTCGAGGAGGCCACCTTTGCGAGACAGGCACAGATCGGCCCGCCTGGCGTCTGACGCGATAGCCCGACGACACATGTCCTCTGGTATGACTCGCACAGCCTTGATGATCGCTCTCTTCAGGCCACAGAAGCTTGCTGGACCTTCTTTGTAGACCTGGCCCTTGAGATGACGCTACAGGAAAAAAAATCCATAGGGGTCAAGTCAAGTGAGCAGACGGGCCAGTTCCGACTGGCACCGCGGGATATCAGCCGGTCACCAGAGTGGCTCCCGATCCACTTGAGCATTGTTTTGCTATGTGAGGAGACGCACCGCCTTGCTGGAGCCGCATGAGGTCCAAGATACTGCCATACGTCACTTGATCTCACTTCAAGAACTTCTTTAGCGTCGCTTGGTAGGTCAGCCATGCGTCGCTCTCAACCTCGAACCGAAGTGGAACTGGCCTGTCTGCTCAACCGACCTGACCCTATGGATTTTTCCTGTAAGGTCATCTCAAGGGTCACCGGTCAGGTCTATAAAGAAGGTTCTGTAAGCTTTAGTGGCCTGAAGAGAGCGATCATCAAGGCTGTGCGAGTCATACCAGAGGACATGTGTCGTCGGGCTATCGCGTCAGCCGCCAGGCGGGCCGATCTGTGCATGTCTCGCAAAGGTGGCCTCCTCGAACATCTACTGTGAGAGACTGAAAACGAGAGAAAGCAGCTTAACATGATGTCATTATGAATTTACACAAAATGTACTCTCGTTTGGTATCATTTTCAGTCACCTGCATGCAATATTGCATGTTTTATACGAGTTTAAAATGTTTCCATCCTTTTTGGTCCACCCTGTACAGAGGTGTGCTGATCGTTGATAGTTGCCCTTGTTTTAGTTTAAGTAGTTGATGGTTGCCCCAGAAGCCACGTTTTTTGATGAAGGTCTGGGGTTTGGGATAGTCGCGGAGGGGCGAGGAGTGAGTACCATCAACCATGGCCAGACTTGGACTGGGAAGCTTGGTAGGAAGACACGTGCATGTCCGTCAGCAAGATGTCTATGGTTCCAGAATCCAGCCCTGCATATGTCTTGCTGCATACTTTGAAGTTTCAATGCATGGTCACATCGAATTGTAACCACCTTGTTTCAGGTGTTTCTGTTGACAAGAAGTACTGCTGTTAAGCTGAGAAGTGTCACCATCATGGAGGATGAACAGCTGGCATCTGCCCTGTCTGAGCTGCCCTGTTTGGTCGAAGAAGATGAACAGGGCAGGGAAGAGTGCAACAAATGCACGTGAGTACGATCTACTTATAGTACTGCAACAGTTGCCTGTCTTTTGATTTAGTCTGCTTTTGTCACTTGGCATGTGTGTAGTGAAATAATTGGTCAATATTTGTAGTCTTTGACCAGTAAAGTGTCAAATCATGCATATTTCTGAAAACATAAATGTACATGGCAGGGCTGTTTTCATGAATGACGTTTCTGCCTGTGGTTTGGATGTGCGACTTATCACGTGGAATTTCCGCGCCAAGGAATTTCTCACGAAAACGGCCGTTCCGGCAAGCCCGTTTCATGCGATCCCGCGGATTCCTTGCGTTTTGCGATGCCTGAGCGGCTGTATTCGCGAGGAATTCTCCGCGTGGAAATTTGACGTGAAAAACAGCACGTCCGAACGCAGGTTTAATGTCAATATAGCTTTTCCAGCATCAGATGACTGGTTTGTTCATTGCCTCCTCTAAGTCCTGAGTGATGACTTGTTTGATGTTTTCAGTCGGCCAATCACTGCTTGCTGGTGTCCCTACTTACCAAAGCCACCCATAGATGTCAGCACCAACATCATTATCCTTCAGGTGAGTGCCGAATGCTGATAACATTCCTGGGCTTTGAGTGTGTGATGTTCTAAATTGCCCATCTGCTTTTCTTTGTCATTACTTCTCAGTGACCTAATGTAAATCACGCTATTTTCGCAATTTGCGCTCAGTGGCTCTTTTACAATAAAAGGTCAATAACCACATCCAAGGAGGCGTGTCACGTGACCTAGCGATGTGTCCGTCCGCACAGCACCCTCTGGAGGAGCGGAGGGCGCTGAGGACAGCTCCCATGATTCAGCTGGGACTGGCGCCGGGAAAGTGCACCGTCTATCGGGGCAAAAAGTTCCCATCGGCCAGGTGAGACAGACTTTACGGATTCAGGTGGTTTTGTTAGTTGACACGCGGTAAAAATTATTGTTGCCTTTACTGTCCTCTTGATATTTTGAACGATAAGATGATGATTCATTGTGTATAATGTTTTCATTTTACAATGCTTATGCGAATAATGTGCGTGAAGTGCGCTTTTCTGTAGTCACGGATGACTCGTCGTTCTGTTGTCCGTGAAATGATTGAGTGCTTCGTTCCGTGCTCGTGACTGTGACGTTTGCTTCATTCCGTGTTCGTAATTCGAAAGTCGTAACACGTATTTGTCATACGTGCTTGTTACGTGTTGTTACACGTATTCCTGGAGCGTGTCTGTGACTGACGTGTGCTCCATTGTGTTCCGTGTTCGTGATCGTGACTATGACATTTTCTCCGTTCCGTGTGTCTGTGCCTGTGGACTGTGAGTTCCGTGTCACCCAGCACTAACCCCCCGACCCGCCTCCCCTCCACAGCCACGTCGGCCTGGCTGAGATTCTCCGCTCGCCTCGCACCGTGATCCTGTTCCCCGGGCCGGCGGCAGTGGACGTGGCAGACCTGCCTCCCTGCGGGGAGGGTGAGGAACCGGGGCCGCTCAACGTGCTAATACTGGACGGCACCTGGCGCCAGGCGAAAACTATGTACACCATGAGCCCGGCGCTACACTCGGTCAGACAGGTAAGGACGCCACCCAGCGCAGCACAGGGTCTATATGTGAAGGGTAGGGAGGCAGCTGCCAGACCAGTATCTCTACCGGGATTTTACTTATGTTTCCTACACCCAAACACGGTATCAAAACGTAGAATCAATTTGGCAGCTAGCATATTTGGTAGGTAGTTAATTCGGTAGTATCTGATTAAGACTGGGACTAGCTGGATTCACTACCACCGGCGCTCCGTGCCCCAGGTAATGGTAACCGGCCGCCGGTGCAGCAGCTACGTGGTGCGCACCCAGCCGACATCCGCCTGTCTCAGTACCGTGGAGGCGGCAGCCGCCTGTCTGCAGCACCTGGAACGGCGGCCGCAGCTGCCCGGCCAGCTGCTGCAGCCGCTGCACGCGCTGTGTCGCGTCCAGCTGGGCCATGGGGCGGTGCCGCACACCAGTAAACAGGAGCTGATCGAGAGGGGACAGTACGAGCGACAGAGAGGTGTGCGAACCAATCGAATGTTCCGGCAACTGGGTGTGGTGCTGTGATATAGCGGACGGTGGACTGCCTGGTGCGGCACGACGGTGGGACGCGAGGGTAGCTCTGGTGCTGGTGGCCGGGAGGTAGTGGCTAGCTCTAGTACTGACGGCAGGAACTAGCATCTACGCCTGGTACCGAATGCAGGAGCTAGCTGCTTACAACCTCTGGTACTGACATCCGGAGTGAACAGCTACCTTTGGTTCCGTCAACAGAAGCCTACGGCTAGCTCTGCTCCCGACCAGAGCACGGCCCTAGGCCATCTCTAGTATCGATGTCTGGTGAAACATGCTGAGTCAAGAACAGCTCGCTGTTGACATGCACCGCGGGCTTCCGCCATAGGTTTTTATAATGAACGGAGGTGGTGACGTTGGAATGTTTTAGGCGATATGTGAGGGAGGTGCGATCTCATCTCACGTGAGGCTTAAAGTGTGTTTCATGCATCCGCCCCACCCAAACGCTACCCCAAAAGCTGGGTTAGACTGGTCTGGATTGTCGTGTGTTTTTGTTACGAACTGTTGTACGAGCTACTAGTTTTCGGTTGGTAATCACGGTACTTTACCTGCGTGATAATGTTGATTAATTTGGCTGGGATTCAAAACCTTTGATGATGTTTTGCAGTTGGACTGAGCTTAACCGCCATCGCTCATATTTCTACGAGGTGATTAAATAGAAATACAACCCATTTTATAGCTCAAAGTATTGTTTACCTAATTCGATTTGTGTTGTCTTGGTTACGCAAATCGTCGGGAAACTGATTGATATTCCTCCTGATAATTATTACGGAGCGAGCGAAGCGAGCGGAGTCTTTCCTTAGATTACGGAAATTTCTGAGTATGAGCGGCCGGCCGGCCGTGCGGACGCTTTTGCGAGGCTTATATCTCAGCAACCACTTGACCGATTTACACGCGGTAATTTTTGTAGGGTAGCTTCATTCCTTCTACCAAGTATTGGACTATTCCCGATGCATGTGGGTGACCCCTTATGCACGTGCCACGTGCAAAACGAAGAGGTGTCCGTTTTGTAATTGTTGCAATATTTCGGTAACTACTTGGCCGATTGCGCTGAAACTTGGCATGTAGGTAGGCACCCACTAGGCACTGCATATCCATGTGCCAGAGTTGGGGTGCTGCTGCACGTGCGCACGTGCAGGGGTCGTTTCCAGATCTCGAGAACGGCTGGACCGATTGCGCTCAAATTTGGTACACGGTTAGGGACCAGTTAGTAGGGTGCCGTGCACAAGTCAGTTGGGACCCATTTAGCACGTGCGCACGTGCAGGGTGCCGCTCCCAGATCTCGAGAACGGCTGGGCCGATTGTGCTCAAATTTGGCACATCGCTAGAAACCGGTCAGTAGGGTGCCGTGCACAAGTCAGTTGGAGGTACCCCCTCGAAATTTCGCACGTGCAAGACTCACCCCCTCGCTCGCTCCGTTAGTCGCCCCAAAAGGCGCTATACTGGTATTATTATTTGAGTCATATCACCCAACCACTGCTCGGAAGTCGTCTACGTCTGCTCTGGAAAAAAAACCACATAGATGCGCTTTACGTTATATATTTTGCTATAAAAATAAGCTCACATAAACGTCAGGTCATGCAAATAGCTGCAGCCATTCCAAAAACAACACAAGCATAACTGACTGTTCCCAAAAATAGTCGACATAAGTAAATGCAGCCGCAACCGCTTCACATAGCACAAAATGCCCAATAACATTTTGACACCGCTGCCAGCAAACATACGAGAGGGACACCTCATGATCGCGAGTGGGTGGGGACCTGAGCCAACTCTGCTGTGATAGGGTATTCTTTTTGGGCGTTTTTGGTTGTCATTCCTTCCCACAGTGAGTTGGAAGGTTGAGGGACAGGCAGGATGTCCTAGCCATAGATTCTTTCCCATTTGCGAGCGTCGGACGTGAATCAAGAGCAAACCAACAACTGGCTCCAAAAGAAGGAATAGGTAATTATTAGCTGTAGACATACAAGGGACTCGGCAGTCGGCATTAGTCGAGACTGAAGCCAGACGCGTTTCCTCTCGCTTTCATATTCATCTCCAGACACAATTTGCATCGGTGGATTGCGCGTCGTTTGGTCACCCCGCTCGAACGTGCCACAAGGGAGCGGTGGGGCTGTTGTGCCTTCCTTCTGTAGCTCGGCGGTCCCGTAGGTGCCATTCCAACCACAGGGGGAGCGAACAACACTGCTGTATCGGCGGCAGCGGTTAACTGCAGAACAGCGGCCGCTGCCGGTTGGTGAGCGCGTGGCGCAGGCAGCTGCTGCGGCTATAGTGGCGCAGGTCGCGGTGTAGACACGCCTCTAGGAATCTCCTCAGCGGCAGGAGGTGGCTGGTGGGTGCTGTCCAGTCGGTGAGGAAGTCCTCCAGAATGTGGTGGACCCGGCTGGCCGCTGGGAGTGACCGGCCCGATGGACGCAGCAGCATCGCCGACTCTGGGGGCAAGGGATGACGACGCAGTCAGGGGTGGGCCGGGAACGAGCTGGGCTGGGTCTCACACGGGGCCAGTAGTCCTTAGGGGATTACCCATTAGCTCATGATAGTTCATCATGGGAATCATAGTTCATGATAGCGTGAAGTCAGTTTGTTTTTCTTCATTGTGGGATGGATGTGCCATTGATAAAAGAAGATTTATTAACTGGAGCATCGCATGGGAAGAATCGATTTGTAACGGCCTTTATTTTCTCTAAACCTTTACTGTGGGATAACCACTAGTGCTGGAGCATGTGCCAAAAGATCTGCCGTCTTTCAATTGTGGTCTCAAGGGTCTGTACGTAAATGTCATGCCCGACGTGATAACACAATTTTGAACAGGGCTGCGAGTGCGGAGTCGATAAATTTTCGGTGACTCCGACTCCGATTCCGGCTCTCAACCATCAAAGCCGACCCGGACAAAACTATCGACTCCGACTCCGACTCCGCAGCCCGGGTGTTGAATGCGAACACATCATGGGTCCAAACGATTGCACTTACCACTGGGTGGGTGCTGGTAGAAGTACACCACGGGGTGAAGGAAGTTGGACTTCTCGGCGTGCAGAGGATCGGAGATGGCTCGGTCCCACCGGAACGTGTCCTGATCCGGACCGCTGTGAACGAGATCCAGTCATGGACTGTGTCAAGGCCCTATCATTTACGCTGTCAGGAAAGACAAGGGGTCTGCTCCAGTCGCACTTCCTAACACCTCTAAACTCCTCCAAGATTGTTTCCCTGTTCCAGTGGCAGCTCTAGGCCCTACAAAGCCAAGGAGGGCCCTGCTCCAACCTCCTATCTTGCTCTTGGATGAGTTTAGAGGCGTTAGGAAGTGCGACTGGAACAGACCCAAAGTTGCGTTACGATAAACGAGGCCAATGTATCAAAGACGGGACCAAGGTATGGTAGACAAGACGACAAATGTATGAGAACTCACATCAGACGCTAGTCTTTATTAGCATATCAGCAGTCAGCGCACTGCACATATGCCTCGGATCTACAAACTTTACAAATGTTCACGAACTTCCCTTCTTAGCCACCTTAGCTCTTTCTCCCCGGTTTCCGTGATCACGCACCTGCACTGCTCTCTGTGTCCAAACAAGGATGTCCCACACCGTACACACCGCATGACGTAGGAATATTGTACTCAAACTCCCTTCGTTGTGGCTCACCTGAACTCCTCCCCATACTCGAGCGACATGACTAGCAGCTGGTCGGCCCTGTGGCCGGTGGTCTCCGTGAAACGATGTAGCATCGCCACCGGAAACTCTGGGACCAGCAGGAACCCCTCACGACCACTGAAACATGGGCACCAACGGGGCTTTGTTTTGTTTTGTTGGGTTAGGCCCTTTCGGTCCAATGAGACCATTTCAGAGCCGGAAGGATGATAGGAATTAGGGGGAGACATTGGTCTGGGCAGGCACCCTAGTGAGTCGCCGGGGCTGAGCCCGTCCAGAGGACAGGCCACCCAGCCCCAAGGCACTCACTGCACCCGGCTACGGGGTGCGCTCCCTCGGGAGCAGCGGTGCCGCTCCAAGGGAGCAGCCCGCATGAGATAAAGTTGCCTGTCCAGCCCGGAGGGGGGGGGGGGGGTTGCGGCGTGGAGGAGAAGGATTTCAGTATCCTCAGTGGCGCAGCCAGAACTCTGGCGACGGGGGTGAGAGACGGTCGCGATGGGCCCCCCAGCAAAGTGGGCCCCCCTCAACCAAATGGGGCCCCTTACCAACAACGAAAGTTCAGATCATTGTCATCATTATACCAGTCAAATCGGGGAAAAGGACAAATATCTCTTGATCTGAAGAGGCACGCAAAAAACAACAGCATATTTACAGAAACACGACCATTCTGCCCATATTTGATGGACAGCGTGCAATTGATGGCCAGTGGCCACTCAAAGGGTCGGGCTAGGTCAAAAGGCTTTTAAAAAGCTCAACATCAGTTTTTCGACTGTTACTTTTGATATAGGAGAGGAGGTAGAGTTATGACATTGTCTTGAAGGTGTTAATCATCCATACGGATCGGTTGATGACCATCATGAACTTCTCAAGTAAGGGCATGACCTTGATCTGCGGTCACATTTTGTAGTTGAACTTTTTATGTGAAATTATAGGTGGCTCATTCGATGCATGTTAACAAGAGAATGATGACAAAGTAAATGTCTCATAGTTTTTCTCACCAAAGTCCTTGCAAAAATTCTTAGCAAAACTGTTTTGGTAAAATGCGACTATTTAGATGGTTTTGCCGGTTTTACCCTCTGCTCTGTTGCCAAACCATTGACATGAGGCATTGAGGTCAAATCTTAAAAGCGAAAGCGTTTTGAAAGGCCTATCGAATGAGTTGTTCCGCAAAGCTCTAGCTCTTTGGTTCACGAGTTATACGGTTATTTGTGAAAAATATAAAAACAAGAATTTTTTCGTCGTAATCTTTGTGTTTATCATAATTTCATCATAATTTCATCTTCAATGACCTCAGCGATGACCATAATCGAAAAATGATTTCTACGATTCTGAAGCATTCTATAGCTATCCGTTGCTTTTCTCGTCTTTCTAGCCGTTTTAACCCTCGCCGGACCTATTGGTTTTCTACATACGCGCCGGCCGAGGGGGGGGGGGGGCGGGTACGACCCCCCCTCGCCGTTTCGCCCCTGGTGGAGCTAGCGCGTCGCGGAAAAAACGAGCGTGTGCGCCATTACGAGACGCAGAGATTGGTACCCGATTTTAAGGTCCTAGGTCAACCGGTGACCTCTGAGGTCAGGTCAAGTGCCCCAGGGTACGGTTCAGTTTTTGGTGAATAACTTCGCAAAAAACGGCCGCAGAGCCGCGATTTTGGCAGCATCGTGTTCGCCTCGCTCAGGCGCGTCGAATGATATACTTTTTGTTCGGGTCACGTCAACTTGGGGTGTTGACCTCAGGTCAAGGTCAGGTCAGCACCCCCAGGTCACGAAGTTGGTCGAAAGAGGTCATGTCGCATATCATTCGATTCGGCAGGTCTTCCTGAGTCCATTGGTGGCTTTCTCGACTCGCTAGCTCAATTTGATCGGGAGTTATTGACGAAAAACTAATATGACCTTGATGACGTCATAAATGACGTCACGGCAGGTCAACATTGCAAAAGTGACGCATCTAACCTTGCAAGGAGTGCATCAAATCACGATTCTGTGTGCTTGAGATAGTTGGAGATCGTTCCCGGCGCCAGAATAGCAGTTTTCATTTTTCCCCATTGACTTATAATGGTGAGGTCACGAAAATGACCTGACCTCATATGACCCTTAGGAAAAATCCGAGATATACAAGTTGTGAGACTCATAATGGATACTAGATCCTGCAAGTTTCATTTCCCTGTGACATCTCCTCTGGCAGTGAGGGCGTTGCGAAGTTGCGACATCTGAAGACCGTGCAGAGGTTCACTTATGACGTCATAGGTCAGTGACCTGACCTGACCCAAAAATGCGGTTGGTGTCAAAAGATGCGGCTTGGATCAAAGGTCAGGTATGCCAAGTTTCAGCTCTCTATCGCCAGCGTGTTCGGAGCTATCGCGAAAAAACCCTATGGGGGGGGGGGCGGCACCCGCCCCCCCCCCCTCGGCCGGCGAGGGTTAAATTATGATCGGGTTTGGCCGATACGCCCCCCCCCCCCATGGCTGATTGCACGAGTTACAGAGCTCTATCGAACCCACTTTCAGCGCGCTATAGCTTTTTATGTCCTCGAGTGTCGAAATAGGCGAAACTTTTCCTTCGATGAACATGATGACGTGTGCTTTGGTCTGAACTGCAATATGACTGAAGCAATTTCTCCATGATTTTCGACGCTCTTTAGAAAGCCGCCTACCGCCGCACTTGTCGCTACGTGACCCTGGAGTCAGGTTAGAAGGGGATATTCAAACACCCCTCAGCAGGGCATATTTTAACATACTGACTGCGTCCCATTTTGGGACGCAGCCCCCTGCCTTTGGGACGTAGCCCTCGCGAAATTTGGACCACTGCGTCCCACACTGAAATGCCACGGTTTCAGCCGAAAAGTGCGAGCAAAAATAAGTAACATGCCTCGGTCTTTTACTGTGTAAAAGATGTTGGCTTTCCGATTGCTTTGTGCCCTGATTTACTATGTACCTAAGCACATACATGCCCTCTCCAGTCCTTGTGCCCTGCCCTACCCTTGGTCATACACCTTATTATGTTCTTCCCTACTATACCCCTAGGATATGTGCCCTGCCCAGTGCCCTGTCCTTAGACCTTAGGTCTTGTACTTTGCCATGCCCTTTCTTCAGGCCCTGTGCCCTGCTCTGCATTCAGGCCCTGTGCCCCGCTCTGCCCTGCCCTCAAACACGATACTTTATATATTCTGCCTTGAAATTGTATGCGCTGTTTTCCCGTCTTTAGGCTCCGTGCCCTGCTCTACCCTAGTTTGAGGCCCCGTGCCCTTCTCTGCCCTCAAGCCTTGTGACACGTCCTGCCATCAGACCCCGTGCCGCTGCCTTGTCTTCAGGTAGGTACTGTGCCCTGCCCTGCCATCAGGCCTTGTGCCTTCCCATGTCCTCATGCCCCGGCCCCGCGCCCATCCTCGAGCCTAATGCCTTGCCCTGCCTCAGGCCCTGTCCTGTCATGTTCTGCTTCCAGGCCTCATGTGCATTGCCCTGCCCTTAGACCCTGTGCCCTATTCTGCCATTAAGCCTTATGCGTTGCATCGCCCTCAGGCCCGTGCCCTGCCTCGCCCTAAGTTGCTGTGCTCTGCCCTGTCGTCAGGCCTTGTGCCGTCCCATGCCATCAGACCCTGTGTCCTACTCTGCCCTCAAGCCCTGTATTCTGCATTGCCCTAAGGTCTCGTGTCCCATGCCCGCCCTCAGGCTCTGTGCCCTGCCCTGTCATCAGGCCCTGTGGTGTCTCCCGCCCTCAGGTCCCGTGCCGTTTCCCGTCCTCATGCCCCGTGCCCTTACCTGTCCTCAGAACCCGCGCTTTGTTCTGCCTTCATGCCCTGAGCCTTGCCCTGCCCTCAGGCCCCATACCCTGGCCCTGTTTCACCGGTGATAGCAGCACGCTGCTATTACACGTGTCAAATTGGGTTTCCATGGATACATCAACAGGGCCATTGCTCAAACACTACCACAAGTATGACGTCAGCTCGCGGAATTTGATAGCAGCGTCCATGAAACACCGCCCACGTCTTGTCATACCTTCGGGGCCCGAAGGTATGACAAGACGTGGGCGGTGTTTCGGGCCTTGTGCCATACCTGTGTCTTATGTCTTGCTCTACCTTTAGGTATTATTTCTTGCCCTGCTCTAAGATCCTGCATGTTGCCCTGCCATCAGGTGTGTTGATCATCAGGTGTTCTAAGGCCCTGTGTCTTGCACTTCTCTCCGGCCTTGTGTAATGATAGCCTAAGACCTGCGCCTTGCCTTGCCCTCGGACCCTGCATCCTACCCAGCCCTCAAGTATCCGTCTTATCTTAGCTTCATGGCCTGTGCCTGCCCTGTCCTTAGGGCTCAGACTCTGTGTCCTGCCCTTCCCTAAAGTCCTGTTTAGAGATGTCAAGTTGGAGCCCGCAGGCCCGGAGCCTGGCCCAAAATCCGGCCCTACAGGGCTTTTGCATGCACAGTGGATTGTATCATTGTTTTGAGGTACCTCATCGAAACGCATCGACTGATATGCGACATGATCTATCTTGGTCACGAAATGACCTTAATGTGAGGTCAAGTTCTGACCTTGACATTTCGAGGTAAAAATGAGAGAAGAACGATCGTGCAAACGAAAATTCTCTACCTTTTTTTAGTTCAAAAGCTTTTCATGAAACCTACCTATATTGACAAAAATTGTAATTTTACTCGTTTTTGGCTATGGAGCCTCAACCGTTGATCTCAACTCAATTCTGACGAAATATTGACGAAAGAGCTGTTCAAGATATATCGATTGCTTTTCTCCTATCGATTGCGCCCTCCTAGCTATCATAGTTTTTGAGATACCGGCACGTTTTCCGAAAAAAAATATCGCATCATTGCGAAGTTTCACATTTGATGGCATACGGTCAGATCAGGGCCGTCATGGCCGTCTGGCCATAGGAGGATATAGAGGGGGCCACGGGGCCATGCTCCCCCCCCCCCCAAAGCGCCCGGAAATGGCACAAAATCGACACATTTCTGGGCATAATAATTAAACAAAGGAACTTCCATTGGGAAAAGTTTGGGTTATATTACATGATAGGCAGTAAGGAAGCGAAATCCGAAGCATCCAAAGCATCCGTTCATCTAAAGCATTAATCTATGATGGATTTTTTATGTAGCTTTAAAATCCGATGATTTCTTGTCACAACTTAGGTGGGTACTGTTTGACCTTACGTCATCTAATTATTTCAAACACATAGTATCTTCAATGCAAATTGGCAATGTTTCACACGTCAACCTCTATTTTGAATCGATTGATAAGGGTGAAAAACGCATGAAGAGACGTATGTATCACATTTTAATCATGTGCATATTCATTTTTATTCTCCAAGCATAGGTACAATTTGGTGCGTCAAGGGGGTCAAACACGCCCAACGTCGTTCAGGAAAACGAGTGACTAACAACAATGTAAATGTCATGAAATCGCCGGTCCGCCCTTTGAATGCGGATAAAGAACGCACTACGACTGGGCGAATTTCGAGACTGGCCAAAAGCAATCACAGCCCGCTCCCAATATCCCGCTTGCAGTGCCCCTCCACCAGCACAGTACACAATGTATCTGTACATTATCTCACTTGCATTATATACTATTTCGCTTGCAATGTGCCCTTTCCGATCAAAGCGTGTGCCCTATGCCACCTTTGGGACGCAGTGAAAAATCCTTAAAATATGCCCTGCCCCTCAGGGGCGTAAAACTGGAAAGCCTTTGGCCCTGCTCTGCGGGGCGCGGTCGAGCTAGGCAGTAGAGCCAGTTTGGGATATTTACAAGCCCTCGTAAAGCCCTCAAGAATCTGCATAGAGCACAGGCCTTCCAAGACTTCGGGGTTTAGATATCGACAATCGACATGGTCTTTTAAGACCTGCGTGGTGGCTATCAGAGGTCGGTGGGCCCCTCAAAAGCCGGTGCAGGAGCCTCAGGTGTCAGTTTGGAGCCATCATGGACCGGTGTGGGGTCCTGATAAATACCTAGGCGTCAAACCCCTAGACGTCGGGGTGGGGCCCGGCGGTGAGGCAGGCACAGGCCTGAGGAGAAGATTTTCAGATGTCGGCTTGGCAGGGCCCTGCATGGCTTTCTCAGAGGCTGACATATCGTACTGCGGGACCTCCATCATAAGCGGCGGAACGGGAAGGGCACCGGAGCACCGTGCCTCCCTTTGATTTTGGTATTTTAACATTAGCCCTATGGGCGTTTCATGGAAAGAATGGGACCAAAAGTCGGCAGTGCCTCCCCCCCTTAATTGGAGGTGTTCCGCCGCCTCTGACCTCCATGAGCCTCAAAAACCTCTATGGGCCCCCTCACGCTTGGGGTAGGCTTCCTGAAGCATAAAATCTGAGTCTTGAGATGGGCCCATTAGACATGATCTGGGCCATCAATATACATGTGGTGAGTTGACCTATATCAAACATGATATCGGCTCAATCAGGATTGAGATAGGCCCTCTCAGACCCAGACCAGGCACGGAGTACGGACCCTCCCACACTTAGGAAGATCCTTTCATTCCTGAGATGTCTTCTCAGGCCTGAACTGGGCCCTCTCAGACCTGAAATGGGCCCTTCTCAGGCCTGAAGTAGACTCTCAGGCCTCAAATAGGTCCTCTAGGGCCTGAAATGGGCCCTCTCAGGCCTGACATTAGCCCTCTCAGACCTCAAATGGGCCCCTCTCAGGCCTCAGCTAGGTCCTCTAGGGCCTGAATTGGGCGCTCTCAGGCCTGACATTAACCCTCTCAGACCTGAAATTGGCCCTCTCAGACCTGAAATGGGCCCCCTCAGCCCAGAAATGGTCCCTACCATGTCGAAAAAGGGCCCCCTCGTACCGTAACTGGGCCCTCTCAGGTCTGAAATGGTGCCTCTTATGCCTGAAATGGCCCCTCTCAGCCCTCAAACGGGCCCTCTCTGGCCTCAAACGGGCCCTCTCTGGCCTCAAACGGGCCCTCTCTAGCCTCAAACAGGCCCTCTAGGGCATGAAATGGGCCCTCTCAAGCTTGAAATGGACCCCCTCAGGCCTGAAATGGGCCCCTCTCAGGCCTGAAAAGGGCCCTATCAGGCCTCAAACATGCCCTCTAGGGCCTGAAATGGACCCCTTCAGGCCTAAAATGGGCCCTCACAGCATCAAATGGGCCCTCTCAGGCCTGAAATGGGCCCCTCTCAGGCCTCAAATAGGTCCTTTAAGGCCTGAAATGGGCCCTCTAGGGCCTGAAATGGGCCCTCTCAGGCCTGACATTAGCCCTATCAGTCCTGAAATGGGCCCCTCTTAGGCCTCAAATAGGCCCTCTAGGGCCTGAAATGGGCCCTCTCAGGCCTGACATTAGCCCTCTCAGACCTGAAATGGCCCCCTCAGCCCGGCAATGTCGAAAAAGGGCCCCCTCGTACCGTAACTGGGCCCTCTCAGGTCTGAAATGGTGCCTGAAATGGGCCCCTCTCAGCCCTGAAACGGGCCCTCTCTGGCCTCAAACGGGCCCTCTCTAGCCCCAAACAGGCCCTCTAGGGCATGAAATGGGCCCTCTCAAGCTTGAAATGGGCCCCCTCAGGTCTGAAATGGGCCCCTCTCAGGCCTGAAATGGGCCCTATCAGGCCTCAAACATGCCCTCTAGGGCCTGAAATGGACCCCTTCAGGCCTGAAATGGGCCCTCACAGGCATCAAATGGGCCCTCTCAGGCCTGAAATGGGGCCTCTCAGGCTTCAAACAGGCCCTCTAGGGCCTGAAATGGGCCTCTCAAGCTTCAAATGGGCCCCTTCAGGCCTGAAATGGGCCCTCACAGACCTGAAATGGGCCCTCTCAGGCCTGAAATGGCCCTCTCATGCCATGGAACGGGCCCTCCTAGGCATTGGATTAGTTCAATCGGGCCTTGGATGTACCCTCTTAAATCATAAAATAGGACTATAAATCCTAAAGGGGGGGGGGGCTATCAGGCCTGAAAACTGTTTTTCAGTCCTATGACGGACCTTGACATTATGATAAAAAAATGTCAGGCTGCATAACGTTACAGTTAGAATCGACGGTGGGCCCCTAGGATAAGAGACGGGGTGAGATCTCACCCCTTTCACCCCCCCTGGCTGCGCCACTGAGTATCCTGAGGATAGAAGCACGGAACGGTGACCAACGGGGCATGACACAAGCAAGTTTACTTGTGTCCGGTTCGTTTGATAAATATTCACTGACACAGATAACATTAAATTTGAGAGAAGATCACTTGAGACAAATTTTGGCTACTGCACACACTCTCCCTGAAACCACATCAGTAATTATTTGCAATGTAACAGCCACCGCGCGGCCGCTTGCCGGCCGACTTGTGCTGCGGCACAGCATAACTTCAGGCGCTTACCACTTCTGCCATCTAGCGGTAGTACTGAGAAACGCTGTACGGCTTTGCTCACTCTCGGCGGGACATTTCAATGCAAAACTGAGAGAAGCCTCGATTACATTTGCAGCGCATTAGCACAGCCAGATAAAACAAATGTCGGCAACAAACCTCACCTTTGGAAGACGATAATATCACACAGCACGGAGAACATCTGATACGGTCCGGCAGCCGTGTTGAGGCGCCGCACCATAACATTCAGTAGTTCGCTCAGCGGCCACGAGGTGGCAGGCCAGGCGGACCGGTGGTTCCGCCACTCGAGGATCCGGTGCAATGCCCGGGCTGAGGGGAGGGGGCATGCAGCCGTGAGGTTATGGTAATTGGAGCTAATAGCGATTAGTTCCGGTGAGAGCTGGTGATCGAGCCTCGATGACAGCAAGCGAAGGGTGGCTCGTGACAGTCAGATTTCACCGGTGTTATCGTTTCGCACTTTCTGAAATGAATTGATATATATCTTGGGTTTGCTTGAGTTTGCTACTTCTCTCTCTCTCTTCCGGTTTCCACCGGCGGTTTATTAATCAATACAGAAAAAATAGGCAAATAAGGTATGTAGTTTGAGTCAACGAACAAAAACATAGTGAATAGATAGATGGCGCCACCGGCTGGCAAGGATACAGGAGCTCAGATGGATTAGTAATGTTAGAGACAAGACAGTTAGTTGTTAGTGAAGGTTGGTAAAGGAGGTGACGCCATCATTAACAACAAAAAGTCAGAGTGAAAAACGGCCAGCATTGCCCCTCCTCGGACGGGTAACCGTTGACCTCCAGCCAGCGTGCGCGCCGTCGATTAAACGGTCGCGGCGCCGTCGTAGGTGGCGGTAGATGGCGCCAGCATGCCGTAGCGCCGACCGGCGGCACAGCCGCCCGGCCGTCGGCGCCACGGCGGTAAAGCCATCAGGCCGCCGGCGCCACGGCGGCGCAGCCCTCGGATGATTGTGCCGCGGGGCGGCGCAGCCCACAGCCGATGGTACTCCGGCAGCGTGGCCGCCGGGTCGCCGGCGCCCCAGCAGTACAGCCCCCAGGCTGACGGTGAAGCAACGGCACAGCCCCCGGACCCCGGGGCCGCGACAGTACAGCCATCAGGCCCCCGGCGCCGCGGCGGCACAGCCCCCCGGACGAGGGCGCCGCGGCGGCGCAGCAAACAACCGACAGCGCCACGGCGGCACAGCGACCGGCGCCCCAGCGGCACAGCCCTCGAGCTGACGGTGACACGACGGTACAGCCTTCGGGCCGCCAGCGCAGCGGCGATGGATCCTTCAGGCAGTCGGTGTTGCGGCGGTTCAGCCCCACGGCTGACGATACTGCAGTGATACAGTTGGCGGGCTGCTGGTTATGCAGTGGTGCAACCCTCGCGTTGACGGCGCCGCCGCCGGTGCTGCAGTACCTGCAGTGGTACAACGCCCGCGCTGCAGGCGATGCAGTGGCTCAGCACCACGGGCTGTCAGTGCTGCAGTGGTGCACTCCCGGACTGCCGGCGCCGCAGCGGGACTCCCGGATCGCCAGCGCCGCAGCGGAACAGTCACCGGGGCGCCAGCGCCGCAGCGGCGGAGACCCGGCCACATCAGGTCGCCGGTTGGAGTGCCGATGATGGGCGGTGCAACTAGCTGTCAACGCCGCGGGCTGGTGGAGTCTGGAGAACGGGGATGTGTGTGATAAACGCAAGTCATGACATCGGCCGAGGCAGAAGGCGAGATAGGATGTTACAATAAAAAGTGAGACCGAGTGACCACTCTGACAGAAAGAAGTGAAGTAAACCAAGTTCAATGAAATCAGGCGCTGTGGACAGGGTATAGGGCTGCAACGATTCCTGAGGCCCTGCCCACAAACGCAAAGTTAAGATGAATAACGTAAATTGTGTGAACGAGCCTGGTGGATGACTTAAAAGTAACTTAATTATTTGTTAATATTGGTCAAAGAAAATTAACTTCGTAACTTTCTTGAAAAGTGACTTACTCAATGGAACATCATGAATGTCGGGTATTTTACTAGCAATGATATTATTCCAGATTCCCGGAGCTCTGGCAAATAGAGTAAACTGATAGTAATTACGCAATCTGTGGTTGGGTATAACACGACCTGACAGCGATAGCACTTGCCCAGAGAAATGTTGATTACTACGTGTTTCACGCAATGGGTTACTTAAAATGAATTTAGTGGCCATGATATTTGGAAGCTTCCCACGAAGGTAGTCATGAAGGATGCAGAGGAGTTGGTATTTAACTAGATCATCAAACTTAAGCAGCTTGAGCTCTTTGAAGAGAGGGGAGCTATGTGTTCCGGGGGAAACCCCAGCTACAATGCGGATAGCACGTTTCTGCGCAACGATGATTGGTTGAAGAGACGTACGATAATTAGAGCCCCAAATACATGCGCAGTAGGTAAGATAAGGTTGGATAAGTGAGTTGTAAAGCAGTGTTGATAATTCTTTATTAAGCAGGTATCTGGCTCTGCCAATGATACCAGTCTGACGACTAACTATACCTGTCACTTTGCTAATGTGGGATTTAAATTTGAGATTTTCGTCTATGAGTACTCCCAAGTATTTTACTGTGCTGGCATGCGTTATTTCGCCTTTTGAAACAGGGATACATATGTTAATGTCTGCATCGTCATTAGAGTAAACCTGATATGCAGTCTTCTGAATCGATAGAGAGAGCCTGTTAGCATGCAGCCATGAAGTAATCCTAGGAAACGATTGGTTTATCATATCTTGCAATTCAGGTTTGGACGGCGCGGAATAAAAGACCGCCGTATCATCTGCAAAGAGCAAAAATTTGGCGATGGGGCAAACTTGATAAAGATCATTAATATAAAGTAGAAATAGGACAGGTCCTAAAACAGAACCTTGCGGGACTCCGCACAATAGCTGTCTTGCACTAGAGAGGGCATGGTCAAGCTTGACTCGATGGCTTCTATCAGACAGATAGGAAGAAATCATACTAACGGCATTGTCAGATATGGCATATCTTTTTAGCTTTCTCAGTAATATATCGAAGTTAACCGTGTCAAAGGCACGAGCAAGGTCAAGGTACACACCAACAGTCTTATTGTTGGAAATGAGATTGTCAGTGATAAACTGGTGCAAAATTGAAATAGGCATGTATGTAGAATGGTTGGATCTGAAGCCAAATTGATAATCATAAATAATATTATGCCTGACAAGAAATGACGTGAGCTGGTTATACATAATAACCTCAAAAACTTTTGAAATAACAGGTAGTACTGAAATGGGTCTGTAACTACTAAACAGAGATCTGGATCCGTTCTTGTAGACTGGCGTGATAACTGCAATCTTCAGAGGAGCAGGGAATGTCAGGCTTGAGATACACAGATTTATCAGATGTGTCAGCTGCAAAATGATTTGGGATACAATCTTCTTCAATAATTTGGCACTAAGGCCATCAATACCAGCTCCAGTTTCCTTCAAATTTAGGACAATGGACATAACTTCATCTTCAGTGACAGGACTGAATGACATCAGCTCATCAGTAATAAAATTATCCATATAGTCAAGGGGATCAACATCACTGGGACCAAGGGCAGCATCAAGATTAGGTGCAACCTTACTGTAATAGTCATTGAATGACTCAGCTATTAATTGCGGATCAGTGGTAGCACAATCATCAAGAAGAAACCTTGCTGCCGGAGTAGCTTTGTTTTTACATTTTTGAGTAGCCAGAAGTAAATCTTTCCATAACAGCCTAGGATTAAGTTTGTTCTTATGGAACTGCTTTTGAAAGTATTGCTTCTTTGCATGACGCATGGTCAGTCTTAAAGTATTTCTGTACCTCTTGTATTGCAGCTCGTTTTCAGAGCTACGATCTCTAAGGAACCTTTTCAGGAGCTTACTTCTAGTATTAATGCTACGCAATATAGCCGGAGTGACCCAGGGCTGGATGGGAGTAGTTTTTCTGCTGGAAGAAATTGTTGAGAACTTTTCAATTTCATTCCCGATGGTAGTCATAAATACATCACAGGCCTGGTCCGGGCATTGGATGGATGTGAATCCAGAGAACTTCCTTGAAATACTTAATTTTAGCTCGTCTAGTTTAGCAAAATTAAACTTCTTCGATACAGGAACTGCATTTACATTACTGCCCCCAGATTTAATTAGGCTGGAGGAGCAGAACACAGCTTGGTGATCTGCTATTCCACAGCAGATGGTTCCACTGTGAGTAACTGTGCTCAAAGAGTTTGTAAATATGTTATCAATTAGGGTCTCAGAGAAATGTGGGGCAGAGGATATTCGAGTTGGGAGAGTTATAGTAGGATAAAACCCAAAAGAATTTAAGCAGTCCATGAAAGTTTTAGAATCTGACTTAGTATTATAATCGAAGAGATTCACATTCCAGTCACCAGCCCAAAAGCAGCTTTGCTGGGATCTTACAATGTTACTTAGAGCTGACTCAAGGTAGGGTAAAAATAGGGAAAGTGGGTAGGAAGGTGACCTATATGAGGTGCCAACTAAAAATTTTGAGGCACCAGGGTAGGCAACACGCACAATGATACTTTGAAATTCACTTTTAGCAACACATAAGTAATCCAGTTTCTCACAGTATGGAAAAATGTCTTTCCTCACATACATGGCACATCCTTTCCCTATAACTGAGTCTGTTGGTGCAGAATGGAATAACTCGTACTCAGGGAGTTGGAATCCGCATATCAGATCAGGGTGCAGCCAGGTCTCGGACACCAATACAAAGTGAGCTAAGTGGTTCATATTGGACACCAAAGACACTATCTCATGATAAGTTTGATGAAGGGACCTAGCATTGAGGTGAAGAAATGAAAGTTCATGCCCTAAGAGCGGCCCAGATTCAGGTGGCAACAGGACCTTGCAATTTCGTGCTACATCTGCCAAGTCTGGAATTGCAAATTGGTCATTGCCCATGATGGGTGCATCATCTGGGACTAGCCTTTGAGTTCCATTGTTATTAATGGTGTAGTAATTTACAAGACCAACATTTACAGCTATGATGAGTTAAAAGTGAAAAAAGAAAAAAAAAACAATGAAAAAATATGAAAAAAGAACAAGAATCAATTGAGGCTAGTCAAGGTACACCTGTAGTATCAATGAGGGTATGCACACTCGCAAAGCCCTAAGGTAAATAACACCCATTTAGGAACTCGACACTTCTTGATTTGGCAATGCGGGACACAGAGTCTCTACTGTGGCAGCACTGCCAGTTTGAGTTGTGCTCACTTTTTTCTTGGACTGCACTTTTTGCCAGTTTCCATTGGGACCAGATCCACCCGCTGAACCGTCAGCAGAGCGCTGACCAGTGGAGCCGTGCACCTGGCGGACGTGGTCTCGAATGTCCATTGGAGAGATGGTAACTCTTTTACCATCACAAAGACATTTGATCTGCTGTCTAGATGCACCAAAAGGAATTTCAATGGGTTTCACATCCTTGCTGTCGGATATCTTGGCAAAGATCTTCCCACCCTGTGTATAGTACGACAAGATAGGGTTATCATTCTCCTTCTTCAGGTCCCGGAGAACATTTATGGTGGCAAGCCGTTCAGATGTCAGTGATTCAAAGATCAAGAGGCCTTTTCGCTTTGGCTTGGTACGAGCTCTGTACACTCTTTCTGCATCATCAAGGGAAACAAACCTAACCAAGATCACCTTTTGGTTTCGCAGTCTGTGGCAGGCACAAATATCCCTTGGATCTAGATCAAGGACACCCAAGTACTCTTTCAGCAAGTTGATGACATACTGTCTAAGGTTCTCGCCTCTGGCTTGAGGACCGACCGCTTGGCCAGTGAGCAGGAGGGTCTGCTTCCTCGAATACATCTGTTGGGCCTCAAGTCTGACAGCCAGGTCTGCCTGATCCTGTTGCAGTTCAAGCTGCTCTGAAGTAACCTGGCAGAGGTTGTCTTCGACTCCCTCAAGCCTTGTCACAGTTTCAGAGTGGTTCAGAGAGAGTGAGTCGAGGGAGGCTTCAAGTTTTTCCAGTCTTTCAGTCAGAGATGCTACCTGACTTTTAAGAGCAGCATTTTCAGTAGCCAGCTTTTCAATTTGATCTTTTTGTGATGGTGCCATGTTTATATACAATCAAATAGATCACGAATGCAAAAATTAAATCATCCACCAGTGCACCAGACTAGCCGTAGATGACTAATCAAGATAACGGAACATAGCGAGCTATGGGCTGATTTATCAGATAGCTATAAAGAAAAATTAGGAATAGCAAACAACCTAGTGAAATAAATTTTCTCACCTTGAGAGCAAAAACGACAATTACAAACGACTGAGATGTGAGCGACACGAGCGACACGTGTCACCTTCACAAGGGCAAAGACAGATCAAGGATTCGGTATAGCCCAGCCAACGAAAAATGAACAGGGGCCAACACTACTGTAAATGACGTCACTGGTTCGCGGTACAGCCTGTGCTAGAGCCTTCGAAGCACTTCGAAGCGACCAGCTTCGAGTCTATGTTCACGGCTAGGGGAAGGGACAGAATTTGGTAGCCGGATCGAAATGTGGCAGCATATGGAGAAGCGCGCCAGATTCGAACAAGATGAAACGGGCGGCGCCAATATTGCCGCACTAAAGAATACAACCCTTAGAAAACGAGAAAAAATATGAAAATACACAACCAGAAGTGAGATACAAGCAATACCAGACAATCCTTCGTACAAAAGTGGTCACTCAATGCTCACTTACCACCAGATATAAGAAAGGAACAGGAAAATCACGGAGGCAGAGGAGCAGCGTCCGCCATCCACCAAGCCCGTCAAGGTTGTCCGACTTCACATCATAAGGCACCACCCCGCTACAAGTTACATACAAAATAGGTACGTAATATCATAACAATTTAAAATATACCATGATTATAATTTCCCGCATGGAGCCGTGACCTTAGCGTGCGAAATTGAGCCGTTTCCATACAATAGGGGATGCCGGACACCGAAGTGTAGGTGGCATGGCATTAATATCCACGGCTGGGCAAACGCTCCACAGTGACGTCCATTATCGAGTGGGTGTCGGTCGGAGGTTAGCTTTGATCTGGGCACCGCCCACGCCCCGCACTGACGCATTCATCAAGTGAGACACGTGTGTAGTGCTCCCCTCTCTCCCTCTTACTATCTGTCTCTCTGTCGCTCTCTCTCTCTCTCTCTCTCTCTCTCTCTCTCTCTCTCTCTCTCTCTCTCTCTCTCTCTCTCTCTCTCTCTCTCTCTCTCTCTCTCTCTCTCTCTCTCTCTCTCTCTCTCTCTCTCTCTCTCTCTCTCTCTCTCTCTCTCTTTCTCTCTCTTTCTCTCTCTCGCTCTCTCCCTCGTTCGCTCTCTCACCTGTTGGGCTGTTACTGAGGTCCTGGCGCCCCTAATATCAGTATTTACACAATTACATATCTTTCGCCTGTTCTTTCGCTCGAAAAAAAGCTATTTGCCTAGATAGACGGCGTGGGTTCACCTGATAGACAGGCGAAACTCATCGAGGTCGCACATTGAAACTTGGAAAAAGATGAGAAACCGTTTCTATCAGGGATATCGATAATAACGAACAACATAAAAATGAACATCAAATTAAAATGTCACATCGTGGTATAAGAAAAAAGGAATCGTCGTTGTTGTTGTTTTTTCCGTTAACTTCCTCGATAATATGACTCCTACCTGTGTATCGGAAGCCGTGTACAAAGCCACCGGCCGAGCGCCGGAAGTCAAGCGCGTGGCTGGCGACACCGGCGAAATACAGGCCCGGCGTGGTGGGCGAGCCCCAATCCGACTTCACCGACGGAAACTTGGGGTACGCTCCCGGCGCGCCCGGGTCCGTCGAGCTGCAAGGAGGAGTGGGGGGGGGGGGGGATGTTGGTCGCATCGCAATTAAGCCCATACATGATACAGTTGAAATTTGCAGTTTGGGTCTGGAGAACAGGCTGGGTTTCTGAGAATGCACGTGAAATTGGTTGCCTAATGCCTATGCCAGATAGGGTGCTATTTGAACTATAGTGAGCACAAATCTTTTATTACAGAAGCATTGTTGAATGTGAGCCCTGCATTCCGAGAGAATGTATGCTTCAAAGTCACCTTTGTGGCTTTTTCAAATTTCCGACAAACTTCCGATTTTTTCGGACTCGTGCTTACGCCCTCCATCAGAATCGGGCCCGCCATGCGTTCTGGCCGCACCGGCTCCTAAACACTCAGTAGCCGACTGACGCCTTTGACTGTTGTGTAACGTACCGTGCGTGGCACGACACGTGTCGCTTGGACACGGCTTTTATAATCACGGCCGGTTATAATCAGCTCGGCCAGCTCACAATCTCTGCATCTGACGCCTCGGCGTAACGGAGCCGAACCAAGTTCTGCTCGGCTGGCCAGGAGCGCGGCTGGGTGATATGGCTCCAATTCAGCCCGGCCCGCCGCCGCTCTGATTCGGGAAACTGACACGCCGTAGTTTAGCGCGCGCGCGCTCCAAGTTGGAGCGGCGCCGCTTCTGACACGAGCTGTTTGGACACGGGCCGTCGCCGGGCGGGCAAAATATCGAGCTGCTCTCCCAATTTAGCTCCATATATAGCTACAACACTTTCTGCAGCGGACTCGCATCCTGCTCACTCTGGTTCTCGAGCCGTTAAGAGCGCGAATTTATACGAATCTTTTAAGTGGCCATGTTACAAACAATAGATCTAGAAGATTGTTTGAAGTTGCAAATAACGAACATGCTCAGGAAGCACAAATGCATAAAACGTCCTATTCCGATCTCTTTTATTATTATTAATCAACGTTTTTCTAAGACAATCAAGGCACCTACTTGATTGCAAAGGTAAGCACAGCATAGGTAAAATATTAAACAAGAGCTGTTGTAAAGCAGCGTAGTGAATGAAATATCAAAACAATAAAATAGGTATGCAATTATTGCAAAAGTTGAAAGTAACACTACAATCCCCTGTCATCATAATGCATAGCCCATTGAACTTGTACTTACCTATCAAAAATAGAAAAATCAAATTTGAATCCAAGGCACCCGATAACTTCATCGTATCCATCCCTCATGGAGAAGTTGTCCTGAACCTCCTGCGGCTCAGGAGCGCTCCTCCCCTGCTGCTCCTCCTCAGGAGTGTCCCTCTCTCCTCGCTCCTCAGCAGCAGCCCTCTCTCCCTGCTCTGACTCCGGCACCTCTTCCTCCGGCCTCAGAGAGCAGAAACCCCACCGGGAACCGCAGCTGCCCTCTTCATTCGCCGTGGCGTTCAGTGACGTCACGAAGGTGCGGTGAACGGTGCGCGTTTGCGGTGGTCGTGGCGCGGCGCCGCCGCCGTCTGCCGGCCGCACGTGGATGCGGCCTTTATGGCGCACCAGACGGATCTCCTGAAGATCCGTCTCTAGTAGCCCATCGAGCGATTTCAGCTGATAGGTGTCCAGGAGATTGTTGTTGATTGCTCTGCCGGAGATTGGAGATAGTGACGTCATTATTGACGCACTGCGTCGCTGATGTCATTAACATGCGCCTCGCCGGAGCCTGCTACAGACGGGCGGGCCATGATAAGAGCTCGAATGTTGCGTTGTCCTTATTCATGATCGGACGAGCGATGCATAATACTCGTAGTTGTCTTTTTTTGCCTTGTGAACTGCAGCAAAGCATTTTGGGAGAATGAGATGAATAGTAGTAGCTACTCTTTCCGTGCAACTGCCCAGTGACTAACATTCAACCGGTTCAGGAGTTACTTCTTTGAACACTCCCGATATCATTGTCAACAAAGAATCCGAGTGTCGTGCGTTTCACAGGTCAGCCTACCTGAGATCCCCGACGTAGTGGGTGCTCCAGGCCAAACGGGCCCGGTTCCTGGCCACCATATGAATCAGATTGGTGTGGCCAGATATGTTCGATGCTGTCTCAAACGCAGCATTACCTGAAATTAAATTGTGACTGTCAAAATGTGGGCATTATGTAGACGCGTGCCTCGACAACTTGCACTTCGCTTATCAATAACACTTTTGGCGTAAAAAAAAACTGAAAAACAAAATGCGTAACAAGACCTCTATGCCTAAATGATGAATCGTTGCGCCGTTCACCATCGGCGCAATTATATGTCGTTACCCAAAATTATCTTATTTGCTGTAGGCATTATGTAACGGCTGTTCCTGCTGTTTTCACGGCTGCAAATAAATCGACATTTCCTACACCGAGTCAGCATTCTGAAACATAGATCGGCCAATGACAACGGCTTCTTTGAACTCGCTTTTAGTTTTCGACCCCAAATCAATATCAGATATCGATACGGCTGTTGAACCTTTCACGGTCGATTCACTAGAAAGTCGAACTAATTGAATAAGAATATACCTCTGCAGGTAGATGTGCAGCTTGGCGCCTTACCTCTGCCCAAAATCAGCACATTCTTGCCCCTGAATCGCTCGGTGTTCACGGGCACGTCATCATAGTGTTGTATCAGCTCCTGGCCTCCAATTGGCGGTTTGTTCACCTGCCACATGCCCGTGGCAACAATAACGTAACTGGAATGCACAAAAACATCGGAATAAGTCAGCTTTCGTGATATGTTCTGTTTCAAGTAGGAAGGAACAGGGGTAACGTAAGCCCCCACCATGTTGAATACATCATTAGGTTAACATAAACTTAGCAAGTGAAAGTGGCTGAGGTCCCACTAGAGCAGACATTAACCCTATTCCTGGCGGGGGGGCCTCAGGAGCCCCCCTGAGGTTTTTTGGTTATTTCTCCCAAACGCGTTGAGCTAGGAAGCTCAAATTTTCTGACTTTTCCTAAAAGGCTTCTACAAAAAAAAATTGAGTTGATCTGACCTCAGGTCAGGTCACCAGAGGCGGTTTGGTGACCCTACCTCAGAAAAGTTTGCAATCACGCCAGAGCTAGAGTTTTTGACCGATCAATTTCTTCTCTTCAGGCTTTAGTTAGGGTACCAGTATGTGCAATTTGTATATCTCGGAATTTTGATATCGGTGACCTAAGGTCAGGTCAGTTTCGCGACCTCCCCATTATAAGTCAATGGGGGAAAAATCAACTCCCTGTTTTACCACTAAAACGGGTCGGAATGGCCCCATATACCATACATGACTTCATATACGATCAACCTTCACTACCTTGAGGTCTGTTTTGCTGTTGGGCAGCTGTGAGGTCATGTGACGTCATCAAAGGTCACCAAAGGTTTTTGGCCAATAACTCCGTACAGGAACAAGATACAGACGCGTGGATGGTCTCATTGTGTTCAGCTCGTCAAGACGCATCGAATGATATACATGATGACCTCGAGGTCACGTGACCTGAGGTCAACCTTTGACCTTGACCTTTCGAGGTCAACATATATATCATTCGATGCGGATTGACGAGAGGATCACGATGATGCCCTTAGTTTGTTCCTATCTTGACTAATTCGAAACTTATTCGAGAAAAACTCTCTCCATATCTAGCACCGCCATTTTGACTTTTTCGACCCCTGTGACGTCATCTTTGACCTGACCTGAAAATGACCTTAGTAAAAATTGTAGATCTTGACCGTGCGTATCCGATGCCGTTTACCGTTTGTCGCTGCGATGTGTAGTTTTTGAGATCTGAAGGGGGGGCCAAATCGGCCCCCCCCCCCCGCCAGTTTCTTGTCCCAGCGGAGCCCGCCAGGAATAGGGTTAAAGCCTTTGGGTGATGCAGCCATGAATGGATTGAGTATGACTGCGATGGTTCTTTGGTAATACAGGCAATTGAACGACACCCGTATCTTTCACAACGTCAGTAACCGTTGTCACCGTTGTCACCCCTTGTGCCCTTGTACGACACCACCTAACCCTGTCACCTCGTCATTTTAAACCCTGCTCGCCCGGGCTTCGTCATCAAATCCCGTATCGCTCTGCCCCAGCACTATTTTGAACTCTGGTTACCGAGGCTTCGCCATCAAATCCCTGGTCGATAGATATCACCTCTACGCCAACAATCGCGAGATCTCAGCACCAGAGCCACATTGCGGCGCCAGGAAGACCCGTTTCAGGCCATCTTTCATTGATAACCCCTCCTGATCCATTTCTGAAAGGCATAAATCTTCAGATGGCTACCTACACTCTAGGCATCATGGGAACGTAAGATCTGCCGTCAAAGGGCCTTGATTTCATTTCTGGCCTGTGAATCGAGGCTGGTCGGAAGCACTTCAGGGGCACAACTAACAAGCGTGTTTGAGTCTTTCACCTTATCAGCTTAGCCCTAGCTTCGGGCTAACTCATGTTACAATCACGCATTTTAAAATCAATCATAAGTTTCTCCTTCTCTTAGCTGCTAGAGTTTCAAAGGGTTTCATGGATTACGTTGGCCCGGTCACTACTGTGTATAAGTATTCAAATGTATTCAAGAAAACAGCAGGGTAGTGCGCAACACATCACCAAGCCTAATGTTACGTCTAAAAGTTTGAGCTCCTTTGGACGGACAGATAGCCTGCGCGCCCTGCGGTATCCTGCGGTGACCAGTCGCCCGTCACTAACGAGCAATGTGTGTATCACCAAACCATTTTGTTAGCTAGCTTCAACAGCGGCACGGTGGTAGTTCGCTAACAACAGCCATTCAGAGCCGTGCATCGAGTGGTTTGTATCGATACTCGTCGATATTCGATGCTCGACGCAGCCCAGCCGATAGGGCCTTTTGCTCACGCGACTGCTGTTATGTTGGGGCATGTAACATGACTGATTGACTTCAATGGGACCCCTGAATCTACTGTGAAAGGTGGGAGGGTCTGTCTCCTGGTGACGGGCTTCTAAAGAAACCCTTCAACCATCGACATCCTATAATATCGATACCAACATTCTTTTTAGTCCGTCACGATCGGCATTTTTTTTTACAGCAAACTCATTACAAACGCCATATTTGCATAATGCATATGAGTCACAGCGAACGCGATAACGTGTGAATATTCATGATGCTTACAAAGCGAAAACCGGCGGTAATGGCAAAAAAAAAACTTTGGGGACTAGATAGGCGGCTGCATTAGGCCTTTGCGTCGGACTATTCAGCGGGTAGTTTAGGCATGTTATAAGAAGCAGAAGGATGACAAAGCACTCCTGATTTAAAGGTAAACTTTGGTATGCCATTCATTCATATTCATCTGAGAAGCTGCCCGCTCTGGCCCAGCGTTGCGGCGGTCTCGAAAGCTCAGCAGAAAAGTGTCGATTACGATTTGATCTGTCTCGAAAAGAAGGTTTTGACTTTTGAGTTATGAACAAGTGGTGCTATGGTGGATTTTTCTCACCTGCATCTATACTGCAGAGCAGAGGATGTGTGCAGTATGAACGGCCGAAGCCGCTGTCTCCTCTCGATTCTTGTGACGTTCACACCGAAATGTACGGTGATGTTGGATCTCCGCTGAAATTCTCGCAGGTACTGCACCATAGCATCAGCCTGTCGCACATGTAGAACATATTTTACACTCGAAAAATGTACGAAATATACGCTTCCTATCATCTAATCATACATATGCATGGCACCTGCTGACCGACAGCACGAGAGCAGAATGACTGACCCAGCAAGTAGTTTTATCATTGATTACATGGAGGCTGCATTTTTCATTGTCCAAGGAAAAAATGTAAATGTGAAAGAGATAATCTATATTCTCCAATCCAGCGTCCCTTGGTTAACCGGGGCATTTGGCGGCGTAGACACTTCCAGTCAAGAGTGCCTAATTTGGAGTCAGAGTCAATGACATCCAGTTACAGCTCCTGGATCAATCAGGGAACTTCAGAACTGTCAGGATAGTAGACATAAAATCACCTAATCTCGTCCTCAGCGACATCGGTATTTGAAAGTTAGCCGGGGTCGCAGTTCAGTGACCCGTTGCTAAGCTCGGTTGAACGGGGATTAATGCTGAAAGCGGTCTGTCGTTTGGCTGTAAAGCTCTATTAAGCTTACTGGCGGCTGGCTTCACTAAGGGCTTCGTTGAACCTTGGGATGACTTAACCGTTGTTTTCAATAGTGTTTACGATTACAGTTGACAATCGTGACCCGGTTCACGGCTAACCAGCCATCCTGTGATGCCAAATTAGCTTAACGCTTTGATCTGTGTAGGTCTGAACTCTCCAGCTATCTAAATTTCGCATCAGGCATGACGTCAACAAAACGCAACAAAGCTAGGAACATAACAGTAGTTTTATCGATTCTATTTCGGAGACCGTTCGGTCGGTCGCTGTGGCTCGCCATTCACCGTGAGCGCGGCACTGCTGCCATGGTTATTACCCTTTGGATCGTCGGGTGAAAGATGACATTATCCGCGGCTATTCTGGGCCGTCCGATGCTCGTGGGACAGCCAAAAGCGTTTACTCAACCAAGCAGCGCCTCCCACGTCCCGAGCAACCGTGTTGTCAATGGCGTCTTATGTCCGACATGCCTTCTATCCCTCTTCCCTCCTAATGATTACTTCGCACAAGACTGACGTTTTCCTAGAACAATGTGCGTCTGTTTTAGACCGTGAATGGGTTGAGGAGATAATGCCTTCTAGGATGTATTTAGATGTCAGTCAGGTAGACATTTATCTTTCATTTGTTTTGACCTTCTCCAAAACAAATGGTTAAGGGAAAAAGATATATTTGCAGGATAAATATTCGACCCCTAAAAATGCATAAATAAAATTTGCATTTTTATACCATCGACATCGGCCAAGTGCTTTGTGTTCAAAGTCGGATATAGTGCCATAAGAAAACGAAGAATTTCTCCCCACTTCTCAGCCGTTCTATCCTACTTGACATCACCTAATCTCTCTCACCTGCGGGAAGAAGTCGGCGGAGAATCGTCCGAACTGCAGCGCCGGGTCGTCGGTGAGCAGTGAGTTCCAGTCGTGCCGCTCGTTAAATTCACGGTTCACCTTCCCCGTGTGGCGCTTGTTGATGCTGATCAGAGTCCGGTGCCGCGGGTAGCGCTCGAAAAACGAGCCTGACAACACAGGCGCAGATGGTAGAATGGCATACATGGCTATTGCTGGTGTTTAGGGAGATGTTTGATGTCACTGGGATGTATACTCTAGTCATTTTAACCCGCGCCCGGCTGGGGGTCCTGGATTTCCACGCCCTGCTGGGGGGGGGGGGGTGTTTGAACACCCCCCCCCTTGTAACTCGGCTCCTGGGCCACGTAGCGATACGCGGAAGGCGGCGTTCGAAAGAGCGTCAAAAATAAAGACGAAATCACTTCGGTCAATTTTTTGGTCAGGTCAAAGGTCAGGTCACCAGAGGTCATAGAAGGCAAAATTTCGCCGATTTCCAGGTCGAATGTCGAAAATTTCCAAGAAGCCAACGCATAACTCGGGAACCAATAGAGCTACAGCGCCGCGGAAAAGCGCATTCGATAGCCCTATTAACGCCCTTTCTGAGTAATTCTCTCAGATTTGACCTAACGTCAACAGTTTTGCCTGCAGGGGGCAAAAACTGCAAAAATAGCCGATTTTTTCGGAAATAGTTTTTCTGCAATAACTTTTGACCCAAGCCTTGTACGAGCTTACTTTTACCGGCATCGTGTTCCTCTCGTCAATGCGCATCGAATAAACTATAACTTGACCTTGAAAGGTCAACTTGAAAATTTGACCTCAGGTCAAGGTCATGACCTGACCGGAAAGGGTCATGTTGCATATCAGTCGATCCGTATCGTCGAGCTGAACACATCTGAGGTGTTTTCATCGCTCTAGCATGCCTCTATCAAAAGTTTTTTGCGAAAAACTGATAGATACCATTCGTGACCTAAGATGACCTCAGGGCATAAACAAGGGGCACGGACACCATTTTCATGTTCTGTGTGTCTATACCACTTGTAATTCGGTATTTGGGAGTGTTTATAATGTCTTTCGTCCAAAAGAGGCGCATTTCAATTTTCTCCCATTGACTTATAATGGGGAGGTCGCAAAATTGACCTGACCTTAGGTCATCGATATCAAAATTCTGAGATATACATTTTGTACATGCTATTGCTCTTAGCAATCGCTGAAAGTTTCAAAGCGATCGGTCACTCGGTGTAGCTATGACAGACATTGAAACTTTTTATGAGGTGAGGTCACTTCAAGTGACCTGGTGACCTGACCTTGAATGACCTTGGTCTGAAATTTTCACAACATGTGTAGAATTGATGTATGATAAGGTGTACCAAAAACGGCGGCGCTCCGCGCCGCCGTTTTTGAGATATTTGCGAAAAACCACAAGGGGGGGGGGTGTTCAAACACCCCCCCCCCAGCAGGGCGCGGGTTAATCTTATAAAGAAGAAAGAAATAAGTGTGGGTATACTTTTGAATATATCCATATCCACAAGCTTTACCAATAACGCGTGCAGAGCCAAGTATATCCACTGAATATCGTGCCGACATTACGATAAGTGCCGACGTCGGGTCAGTCACTGAATTGCAAAAAATAAAACACTGAAAAATACTGCAAAGCTCAGTGTGTGGGCGTCATCAGCATGCGGGTGAACCACAGTGGATGGCCGAGATTCCGTATCGATACTATGCTCAATTTACGGTTATGGATCTTTTGATCCGTATGACATTTCAGTGAGCTGACTTTGTGATTTATCCGCTATTGAATGCATCCATTATGCTGCTACCCGTGTCAACATTGCCATTGTTGGAAATTGGGCAGGTTGTGTGCACTACCGTAGGCTCAAATAGTATTTGTGAGTAGTTACTTGACCAGAAAGAGTGAGCCTCAATATTGCACGATGTTTTCATGGTCAGCTGTGTACAATGTTGATTGCTCGGCTAATGCTATGTCACATGATGTACCTATGTGGCGCATTTCAGTGTTATCAACTGAAATGCATATAGATATTTACAGATTACGTGACAAAAGATCGTAAGACAAAAGATCGCATGGAAAAAGATCGTACGAAAATGATCGTAAGATAAAGATCGTATGTTGTAAAAGATCGTACGGTAAAAAGATCGTAAGCAAAAGATCGTAAAGCAATTGATCGTATGTAAAAGATCGTACGAAAATGATCGTAAGATAAAGATCGTATGTTGTAAAAGATCGTACGACAAAAAGATCGTAATCAAAAGATCGTAAAGCAGTTGATCGTATGAAAAAGATCGTAGGAAAATGATCGTAAGATAAATATCGTATGTCTCAAAAGATCGTACGACCAAGGATCGTAAGCAAAAGATCGTAAAGCAATGGATCGTACAAAAAAGATCGTAGGAAAATGATCGTAAGATAAAGATCGTATGTTGTAAAAGATCGTTCGACAAAAGATCGTAACGTTACGTTCGTAAAGTAAATAATCGTATAGAATAGTGTTGTTACGAGCGAGCGAGCGCAGCGAGCGAAGCGAAGTCTTTTGAATATAACGGGAAAATCTCAGTATGAGCGGTCCGGCCCGGCCCGGCCCGGCCTGTAACGCTTTTGAGAGGCTTATATTCTCAGCAACCGCTGAACCGATTGGCCTGCTGTCTTTTTTGCTGGGTAGCCCCATCCCTTCTTCCCCGTAATTGACTACTTTTGATACATCTCAGTGGCCGTCGTGGCACGTGCCACGTGAGAAGTCAAGGGTGTTCAAGCAGTTTTGCAAAAGTAATGATTTTGAGAGGCCCATATCTCAGCAGCGGCTTGAGCGATTGTCTTGCGGTAATTTTTATAGGGTAGCTGCATCCCTTCTACCAAAGGTCGGATACCCTTGATCTATGTGAGTGACCCCCAATGCACGTGCAAAATACAAAAAGAAGAGGTGCCAACTTTGTTCCCATTTCAGTAACTCGGTAATTACTGGGGCGATTTCGAACCAATGATGGACAATTGACATCTTTAACCGGCCTTCGATAACAATGACTCATATAACTAGGATTGGATTGAAACTAGGATCCTATAACTAGGAGAATTGCGACTTCGATAGTGATAACGCGATAAACATCTGTTGATGACTCGTAAAGCGATGACGATTCAATATGAAAATGTTACAGTGCGAAGGAAAAAGTATTTTTTAACGCCGTTTACTTCAGCCGCTTAAGCAACATTTTAACCTTCCAGGCGGTGGGGGGTGGGGGGTGGGGGAACATGGGTTTAGTTGTATTCACTTCAAATAGGTACATGAAAACGGCAGCACATACATTCATTTATTCGGTACATATACAACGCGTTACTTTTAGGTGTCATTGAGCCATCTAAGCTCTGAAATAACATCAATGTATGGTCGAGCTTACGACGGCCACTTACTACGCGAACACAGAAATTGATAAGCTTTGTATGCGCTGGAGTTGGGCTGCACCATGTGAATACCATATTTTGACTCCACGATCTTCATCTCATACGACCATTTGGCGTACGATCATTTTCCTTGACGATCTTTAGCGAATACGATCTTTTGTCCATACGAGCATTATGTCGTACGATCTTTATCCATTACGACTTTTTGGCATACGATCATTTTCCTTGACGATCTTTAGCGAATACGATCTTTTGTCCATACGATCATTATGTCGTACGATCTTTATCCATTACGACTTTTTGGCATACGATCATTTTCCTTGACGATCTTTAGCGAATACGATCTTTTGTCCATACGAGCATTATGTCGTACGATCTTTATCCATTACGATATTTTGCATACGATCAACTGCCTACGATCTTCTGCCATACGATCTTCTGCTTTACGATCTTTTGTCCGGTTACCGTATTTACAATAGTGCGCAATGGAATGTTTGTAGGTTCTAGATATGATTACCATCGCGTGCTTATCACAAAAAAGAAACTATACAGGCTTCATATATACGAATATTCTTGAGAGCAGGATTTCGTCTTAAATGAAGCCGGCCAAATTGCGCATTTCTATTTTAAACCAAAACCGCAACGTAGAGGGCAGCCGTTTGACCGACGAGATTGTGTCATCACAGCGATTACTAATATAGGTCAAATGTCAAGTATTGTCATAAAACAGCTTTCCAGAAGCGTTCGTATCGGTTCTCAGTGAAATATCTAGGTACTATGGACGAACATCAAATAACGTCGCAAGATGACAGAACTGGTCCTTGCCTGGCTTGTGATAGACTCTGAAGGAATAAGCTGCACTTTTCCGCCTGTCAGCTCCATTCATAGCTAGATTCTCAATTACTGCCATAGCCACATAGCGGACTGAATGACCCATGAAACTCGCACGTCAGAGAATGGAAGACGTTGGCGGCCGATAAATTGATAAACGGTGCAAAAAGCGTTCTCAGAAGCGTGCAGCTTCCACCGCGAAGTTCGCAGCAATGTAAGGAACGCCAGAATAGGGACTAGATGCGTGTTGGTATAGTTTATAGATAATTTACATTCAGCATTCTACATACTCATTATTATTCGAAGTTAATCCCTAAGATCAACATGATTTTATTTACCCAAAAGTGTTTCCAGTGATAAGTGGCGTTCCAGAACATATCCAGACCACTCACCAGGAGCATCGTTTCTCTCCAGCAGCACATAGTCCCTGCCGGCCTCCTTCAGGAACAGTCCCATCTGCAGGCCTGCCGGACCGGCGCCCACCACGCAGTACTGCCGGCTGATTGTGACGTCACCGGCCGGCGATCCAGTGACGTCATGAGTGTGCTCGGCGCCGGCCGGGCGGAGGATGAGGAGCAGCAGTAGCAGTGCTGCCCGGTACCATTGTGGCATGAGACGGACGCGGCGGCTGCCGGAGAGAGACGATTTAGTCAGACGGAGGGGTGGGTTATCGGAGGATAGCAGCATAGAAAAACAAACACGAACGAGGTATCAAATCTTCCTAGGTTGTTAACTCATACAAATTACAATGCAACATAGAAGGCGTTACAAATGGCTGTAATGCAACACATGATAAATAAAACAACAACAAACAACAATGAGGAGCTAATTGGAATCGTCGAATAGAATCATCCTGCGCCGCTTTTTAACTTCATCTCCTATGGCACTTGACCGTCGCACGCATCATGGTAGAAATCCTACATGAGCTACCCACGGAAAAAGGGAGAAACCGGAGCCTTGGTCAGCACACGTTGGCTGTGTTGACACTGTGCTCCGGTGTCCATTTTACCGATGAGATTCCACAAAACTGATATTGACAGCGAGGTCGGGTATCAGCTACAATCTGTTTCAAGTCTGCAAACAATGGCTGACGTGCAACATGATGGAGAGGGTGGGAGAGAGAGAGAGAGAGAGAGAGAGAGAGAGAGAGAGAGGGGGGAAGGATAGAGAGAGAAAGAGAGAGAAAGAGAGGGAGAGAGAGAAAAAGAGAGAGAGAGAGAGAGAGGGAGAGAGAGAGAGAGAGAGAGAGAGAGAGAGAGAGAGAGAGAGAGAGAGAGAGAGAGAGAGAGAGAGAGAGAGAGAGAGAGAGAGAGAGAGAGAGAGAGAGAGAGAGAGAGAGAGAGAGAGAGAGAGTGAGAAAGATGAAGCTCGGGAGGGACACGAATGGGGGAAAAGAATATCTGCATAATTAGCAAATTAGGACCCATCTAGCATGCAAATAGATGTACGAATACCGCGAATACGTAAGAAAAATGCCTAGAGAAAATAGACTTTGTTGTCAGTCACGTACAGGATGGGTGTAGCAGAAAACAGATCTAAATAGGTCCCACTTGACTGACATTTGATTTGGTGTCGATCTCCCGTGAAAGCAAGTATCCATAGTAATATATCCCGCAATAAAGCATATGTGCATAGCCTGTCCTATCCCCCCTCCTACCCCCGTCTTCCATCCGTCGCCACACTACTAGCTTCCGGCAATCACATCAGGCTTCGGAGGCACGCCCATTCTGCCGCTAATGCGGAGCACTGTCGGCATTGCCACGTCATCAAGGCATCGCTGATTGGCTCATTTGTTACTTGTTGGAGGGAGCTGGATGGCTGACAAAACTCCTGAGGACTCGGGGAGTCCCGTTAGACAACTGACAAGTATGGTTTGCAGCCTGCTAACGAAATAGCAATGCAGTGCAGTAAGTGGAAAACAGATCCTGTAACAAATTGATGTGCATAAATTGGTTGTAATTTTCATTTCAAAACGCAGCTATATTTTTCTATGGCACAATTATATTGCAGCAAGCTTCCTTCATAACTCAGGTCTGGGTCAGAATTTGTCATTATTCTGGACCGATAACACAGCCATGCGAACATTTCAGAAGTGATAAAATCGGGACTCCCATTAAACCGTAATTACAAACTTCCACGAATGTTCGAGCCGACTGAACAGATATGAGACGACCAGGCCGTAACTGAGATAGTGTTCCCAGAAATGGAAATATGAGATTGTAAATGCAAAAGCTGAACAATTCTATCATCCCCTGTTTGTTATAAGTAATGCAAATTTTGACAATCATGGCAATTGCATCGTTTTACTCAAGCAACGCAATGATTTTGAACATGCGCATTCATCCATTGATTCATAACGCAAGCAAGAACATGGACGTGCTAAGCGTTTTTAAATTGTCATACATTTCAACCCTGATGCTTTCAGAGCGGGTGTATTTTGCGACTGAACAGTCTCGAGCTCTACTCGGGATCGATGAAGGAGCCTGTTGGCCGTAATCAGTCGACAGATGATTGGAGCTCATCCGCCGTCTTCCGCCAAGCGGAAATGGCTACGGCATGCTGAAACTGCTGCAAGTCATGTCGAGTAGCAAACTTTGACCATAAGTGCGCGGTAAGAATAATTTGAACTGCGGAAGGACGAAGGAGCTCTGGAAAGATGGTTTTATTATCAAAGTTTAAATGAAAAATCAAGCGTTGTCTTTGTTGTTTGACGTTGAGAGAAAATATGCTCATTAAATCAGTTAATAGTGCCCAGCCATCTTATTTTTCTTTTATGCGCAGAAGTTGAATGTTTTTACGTTTGAATGGTTAGCTAAAGTAAGCCCACGCTTGTCATTATACGTGTTACCCCAACACGTTCCTCGTTCCTGGCGATGCTCACCGCGATGCCGACACATGGCACCAGAGCTCCTATCAGTGGAGATCAAGCGTGCTGCTGAGCGCCATCTAGATATGAGCACCTGTCTTATGCTTTAAGGTGTTGATGCTGTATTTATTTATTGTTTTATATTATGAATTCATCCGTAATTGGGTGTGTGCCTGTGTAAACCGCAGACCGTGACTTGCCTTCCCTAATCAGAAAGCTTTCGTGTTGTTACACATAATTATTATATCTATTCAATGTTGCAGGCAGCCTAGCTGGGACTGATATCGTTTGCTATTTTATGACACGTTTTCTTGGAAGTTCATTCAGTTCCGCCAAAACCTACAGAACAAACCAACCACCGAACGCTATTACACATTGCTATTACGATTCTCGCAAGTCGCATGAGCACATGAAACATATCAGTATGACTCGCCACTGATACAGCCGACAGCTTCTCTCCACCTCGAGCGCTGTTCTCGATGTATCTGTACGTCACAGACGAGCGCTGATTAATTCCATCTGCGCCGCGGACGTCGGGCGTGGGAGGAGTCGAGACGTGCGTTCCGGCCAACATGTGGGCCGTTCCCAGCGCGCAGGCGGGGCGAGCGCCGCAGACGACCCGTTACGCTCCGGTTACCGCCTCGGGGCTACTTCCTCGTCAAGAGGCGGCGCGCCTCCGCTAGAGACCTCCTCAGCTTGAGGATGGAGAGGTGGTCCGAGCTGAGACGTACGAGGTTTGGACAGGAGTGGCCTCGCCTGTTCTCCTTTGAGAAGGGAAGATTAGTGATTGTCGTTCAGCGTCTGACTTCAGGACACTTTCAGTTCTAATCCTTATCCCCTGCTGGTATGCCTGAATTATCATCAAGATTATGGTCACATGTGTTATGACAATTAATACTATAATTACGGCTAACGCTTCACTATAGTGTTTCTGCTATTTACCCTTTGAACTGCTTCAGAAACTGAACCCAGTTAGGCTTTTGCGAGGCGGTATCATGTTTCAGCGGCGAACCTCCAGATACGGCAGCCTCCAGAGTTCGAGTGGCAGACCCAAACCGGATGTGTCCTGGACGGGACGGCCACTCCACAGAGATAGAGCGCTGCCAGCGACGAAATTGGCTCAGAAAGAAAACCCGCGCCCGAGAGAAACTCCCATGGGAAACTGATAGTGCTGCAGAGGTGGTGCGATGGGGAACATAACACGCTGAAGGTAATGAGCAGCCAGAAAAGTGTGCACTGCCGTCAGCTTGGCAAAGGTGACGGCAGCACAGCTTGGCAATCTATCATCCTCTCGTCTTTTCCCCTTTATCTTTCTTTCCTCCATCGTCTTGAATCTCTGTTTCTCTCTCCATCCCTCCCTCCCTCCCTCTCTCTCTTTCTCTCTCTCTCTCTTACTCTCTCTCTCTCTCTCTCTCTCTCTCTCTCTCTCTCTCTCTCTCTCCCTCTCTCTCAATTTCCACTCTATCTCTTTTCCTATATCGCTCCCTCTAGCTTTCTTCTCTCTCTCTCGCTCTCTCTCTCTCGCTCTCTCTCTCCCTCTCTCTCCCTCTCGCGCTCTCTCTCTCTCCCTTTCCCTCCCTCCCTTTCCCTCTCCTCTCTCCCTCTCTCTCTCTCTCTCTCTCTCTCTCTCTCTCTCTCTCTCTCTCTCTCTCTCTCTCTCTCTCTCTCTCTCTTCTCATCTCACTCCCACACGGACGCCCCGACCCCAGTTCTACGTCACTGGCGGTAACCGGATGTGGATGCCTCCCGGGCCATCGAATTGAGTGCTCCAGGGGGGACGATGGGCGACTTTGATCCGTCAACCGTCCCGATACGCACAGACGATTGTTGGACCGGGAGGCGAGCGAATGGTCTTTGGGGGGGTGGAAAGCTCATTTTAGATTGAGGGATTTAACTGAAGAGCCGAGGGAGAGACGGTGAGTAAATATTGCTCCTCTCCTCATCTCCCGGAGTGAGCTCTAAGATAACCATTTTAGCTTTAAATGATTCTTAGCTTTTGTTGTTTTAAAGTACGCTTGCATTGCTCAATGCTCATGCAGCAACAGCGGCATTAGCAATAGAAGAAGAACACAATATGTAGACAGAGCCTAAAACAAATTAACTATATAACCAGCATGTGATTTTTTTTTACCGTAATTAGAGGACATGCAAACTTGATCCAGAGTATTTAAGTTGCCTTTCCTTTGCCTCAAAATCCTTTAAAAAACATAACAATTCTGCAATGGTTCATTTCATAACATCTTGCAGCCACTTACTGTAACAATGCAACACATCACATGCACAATTATTAACACTCGCAGTGGAAGGGTTGCGAGTACTAACGAGTACTAACGTAGGGGAGAGTGGGGTAATTTGGCCGCTTTTTTTAGAAAACGATATAACTCAAAATTGACGACACATTTCTGCATTTTCTCAACGCTGGCAGGTGTCATATTCATTTTACTTTACTGGAAAGTGAACTTGGAATGACAGAGTAATTACTTATATTGAAATTGTGACGTATTAGAAAGGTCTGCAAGGCGGTCAAATTGCCCCACTAGCAGGGTTATTTGGCCGGGGGTGTGGGGCAATTTGGCCGGTGTTAGTTTGCGGTCGGGATTTTCTTTTATATTGCGAGTCAGCTTCAGATTCAGCAATGATGTGTGTCCTATGACGCATTTGCCGCATTTTGGAGGTTGGCTCAGGGGTCACAGGGGTCAAAATAGCCAAATTAGCGGCTCTAGATGCGATCACAGTTTTTTACGAATAACTTGAAGTAATCA